TGAAAAAATGCATTTTTACAGGAGTTATGGAGGGGGAAAGCGAAATCAAAAAATTGATTTTTCTCGAAAACGGCTCAACCGATTTTAATTTCAAAAATATGTTTTTTTGTAGAATCAAAAGACGAATTATAAAAAAAATACAAACACTGGTATGGAATTTTAATTTCGGATTTCTGTAGGAATCCTGTAATAATTTTTCAATTAAGAAAATTCGTAAATAAAAGTAATATAGGAATTTTTTGTGTGTACCTATCTAATAATTTTTAGAGTGTATCAGAATATTCTTTATGATCAGGAAAAAAGTCAAAATTCTATCTAGAAATCAGAGAAAGACAAAATTAAATATTTGTGGTAACCCAGTTTTAGCAAGTATTGAAAAATTCAAAATTATTTAAAAATGAAAAATCTTTTATTTTATTCTCAAAAATTTTAAAATATTATTCGAAATTTGGTTATACAATGCAACTAAAATAATATACCTATTAAGATGGTATTCTGGTCTGTTTTTTCGAGTAGGATAAAAAAGAAAGTTTAACACTTTTAGTATTGACTTTTGTTGCAAATTGTTTATTAATGTTTAAAGAATACAGAAAAAAATTAGGAAAAAAAATAAAAAATTTTTTAAAGTTATAAACTGGTGAAGTGGGGACTGAAAAAAAGAAAGTGCGAACTGGTTGACACTGTGGAGACTTTTGTAATTCCCTAAAAAAAACCCAAAAAATTCTTGATTATTACAGGCTTCGCTATGATCGGTACATTGAAAAAGAGAAAATTTTTTTTTAGCAAAATGGCGACGATTTAGAAAAAAGTTGTGTTTTTTGAGATTTTTGAATTTTTTAAAAATAAAATAAAATATATTTTTCAAAATCCAAAGTTCCGATCATAAAGGGATATACAAAGAACATTTCTGCAAAATTTGAAGTAAATCGGTTGAGTAGATTTTGAGTTATCGTGTCAACCAGAATTTTTTTCAGTTACAAACTTCAACAGTTTATAACTTTTAAAATTTTATATTATTTTTTTCTGTATTCTTTAAATATTTATAAACAATTTAGAAAAAAATTAATATTAAAAATATTAAACTTTTTTTTTATCCTAATTTTTCAAAAAATTATCATAAAAAATTATTAGGTATACAAGGCATCAGGCTAAAATTAAAACATTTAATTTCTGAATTCTGATTCATGTTCACGTCAGAATTAAAGTCATGTTATTTAATGTGATATATTTTTCCATAATAAAATATATCGGATACGTAAATAACATATCTTTAATGGTTTAATACACATATCATAATAAGTTTTTCATTGTGAAATAAGAAATATGATATGCGCGCGTAGCGCGCAAAGTTTGCTAGTACTCTATATATTTTTTTATTTATAGAAAATATTAGAAAATATTCTACATTTATGGAAAAAATTAGAAAAAAATCAATATTTAAAAAAGAAAATATTTTTCATTAAAACAACGGCGATTATAATAATTTCCCTTGTCATTAAATTGAGCGCATATAAATTTATAACTTTAAATCGGATAATTAAGTTCAATTTAAGTATATAAATATATAGGTATATGTAATATATTTAGAAATTTTAATTTAAAAAAAATATAATTGCAAATTGAAATTTATTATATTAATTAGTTGATAACTATATAATTAATAATTTTATATTCGCTTCATTAAAATTAATTATTTGGTTCAATCATAAACACATAAATGATTCGCCATATATGGACACGGTATAGAAATACTATATTCAATTATAGTAAACCGACAGAACAAATTAATTAATAGATTACAAATGTATGTATGTGTGTGCGTGCGTGAGTGTGAATATAAACCCTCAATTCTCCAACCATCTTAATTAAAACCATTTTTTTCAATTAACTTTATTATGCGCAAAAATATATATTTCAACTACGAATTAAAAAAAAATTAAATTCACATTACTTTTCATTAAAAACAATTTTTTTTTCTCTTAATTTTCGAGAAAAAATTTTTTTTCTCCTTTCATTTCTCTATTTTGTTTTCCTGACATCTCCCTGACTTTACTGACTACTTTACTGACGTGTGGCCACCCTACGTAAATATTGTTGCCGAATAAATAATTTCGTTAAGATTTACAGTTAAAATTTCAATTATGTTTTATTATTATACTTTTTTTCATTATAAATTTTTATTTCTTATTATTATTATATATGAAAGGAGTTTTATTTGAAAAACGATCAATAAAACGAGAAAATAGTTCTTCGCACATAAAAAAATATATATATTTCCAATTGAGGTGAAGATCCTTGACGGGATTATATTGTTGCGGAATATAAAAATACCGTGTGGATACCGAGGAGAGTGTTTCGTGCGTAACGATCTAGTAATGATGATGATACGCAGTTAAAACTCACAATAGACACAAAATACAAACACACAATTTACCTTGAATGAAAAAAAAATGAAAAAAAAATTATATATACACTATCTCTTCTATGAAAATTGTTGTAAACAAATTTTCAAGTAACACACAAAACGACGCATATGGATTTCGTTAAAAGTTCAATGACACCCCAGAAAAAAATAAGCAAAAACTAGAAAAATATACAAAATATATAAAATTAAATATGTAAAAAATTTACAAAAAAAATATACAAAAAAAATATACAAAAAAAAATATATAAAATATAAAAATATGTATAATTAAAATAAACAGAATGTATAAAAATATATTATAATATTTACATATAATTATATTTAATATAGATTATATAATATATAATCTAGAATATATAATCTCTAATATATAATAATATTAAGAACAATAATAACAATAATAATAACAACAATAAAAAAATATTCATAAATAATATACAAATATAAAAAACCCGGCGCAATTCGAATTTCGAATAGCAAAATAAATTACAAAAACACAATATTTAATTAGGCCAACTATCAATAAAATTAATTCACGTCACCAATTTATATAAATACCACCCCGAGTTTAAACATATAAATTTTATAATACTCTTTTGTAAAAATAATATAAATAATTTAAACGCGCACAAACATTATATTCAAGAGACAGAAAATCTATTTATGAATGAAAACAAACACTCTCAATTAAAAAGAAACCAAGAATAACAATAATACACAAAAATATCGCACAAGGAAAAGAAAAATTTAATTAATTAATATTCAAAAAAAAAAAAAAATTCTCACGATTTAAGAAAAAAAAATTAATAAAAAAGATAAATAACTCACCGGTGAGTTCTCGTTCCGTCAACTGCGCAGCAATATACACAATCTTAGGATGGTCCAGGGACCGCTTATTAAAAGAAAGTGCCCGATGAATCAAACAATCGCAACTCTTTTGTTTTTATTGCTTTTGAATTTTATTATTGTCACGATTACAACGCCGCATTACGGATTCACATAATATTAGAAAAAGAAGATGGTCTCAGATGGAAAAAAATTTTTTTTTTCTTTTTGAATATCGCAAAAATGCTAATTTAATAATCGCGTAATATTTACATATTACAAATTATTGTAATTAGCGCACTATAATCAAATGTAAATTCGTAAAAAGAAAAATGTGTGGGAAAGTATTTATTGCATTATCTAAGAATTGTATGATAATTTTCTTTGTAAATTATTATTGCAAAAAAAAAAATTATTACAATATTTCAATTTTGTGGGAATTGTAAAATATAATAAATATTAATTTAGTTTCATGTTTAAAAAATGTGCTAATAATTGCTATTAAAAGTTTATTTTATTAAATAAATTGTTATACTGTTATTATTATTATTACTATTATTATTATTAATAACAATATTATTATTAAAATTATTATTATTACTGCTAAAATTGCTAGAATTATTATTATTATTATCCAAAAGTAGAATTCAATCATTATTGTAAATAAATTTTCTTGAAATTATATAAGCATTTCCTATTAAAATTTTATAATTTAATTTGTTTGCAGGCACAAGTCAATAATCTCGGGACAAATTCAGTTGGTACATTTATTTGCGCAGAGAAATCATGAACGTCAGTGTTAATTAAAGAACCGATAATGAGATTTAGTAAATGCGAACTGTCTAATAAGGTTACCTGAAAGAATTTCCTTTTAAATTCGAAACATGAAAAAAAATCTCCTTTCACGCACAGTTGTAATTAACTAATCAAAAACAAAAAAAGAAAATGTTGTGTTTATGTCACCAAAAAAAATTGATAGAATTTAATTACAATATTAAATAATAATGAAAATAATTCAAAAATTATAATAAAATAATTATTTCTATTATTATTATTATTATTATTATTATTATTATTATTATTATTATTATTATTATTATATTATATTTATTATATTATAAAATGTAAAAACCCAATTCTTTATAATAAGAAAAAATAGAACAATCAATATTTCCCAGTGGAAATAGAAAGGCGTAATTGTAACATGCTTGTTTTGTTCCTTTTGTTAAGTTACTCTCATTTAAAGTCTACTGAAATACAATTTTATCATATTAAAATACGTCAGTTACATTCAAAGTGCTTGTACATTGTGAATATGTAATTTAAATTAAAAAAACGTACCTATTTATTGCTTGAAAAAATTTTTAAAGATAAAATTTCAATTACAATAAAAATAAAAATTAATATCTTTACTATAATGATAATTAAATGACGAAAATAATAGTCACAAGTTAATTATTCTTTAAATGACAATTTCTTTGAGAAATTAAAATATAGTTAGAATAATTACTAACAAATAGTAGATTATTCAATAATAATTTAAATTTGTAATTACTAACGACTAATATTAATAAAATAATAATAAAAGTATTAATAATAATAATCAACTGATTTAAATACGAAAAACAACGATTTTCCTCTTACAATAAAAACATAACCTCAATTCATGAGAAATTTTACGCTTTATACTTTAATTTCATCCATTTCATAAGTTTCCGCCATAAAATTAAATCTATAACAAAATAAATACCTTTTTAATAATCCAAAATTTCTTTTCCATAACATTTTCTTTCGTATTTTATTGAAACGATAAGGTTTATTCCTTTGTCACAATTGTTATGACTTTTATGTCACTTTCAAAGTTGTATAAATCAAAATTATTGTCCCGATCACGTGGAACATTAAATTGCACGAAATTGCAATAATTTGGTCACTTTGTCACTTTGTATTTCTCACCTAACGGAAGTTCAATAAAGCATCCAACAGGAAATAGAGATATTGACAATTTGGATAACATAACCTCAAAATGAAACTTTGTCCCGTTGGGAAAAAAAACTGGATATGCGAGTAAATTGTCTTGTTTGGACAAAATAGAAATTTGGAAGAAATAATTATATTATCCAAATTTGAAATAGAAAATACATCCCTGATTAACCACGTGATAAATCTTAACAAACTGGCGACATCTTAATGAAGGAACACGTAACAAAGAAATATTGGGAATGAGACATAAGGCGCCAACTTGTTGAAATTACTGAAAACGTGAAAGCTAGCTAAAAAGACAAGAAAAACACGAATAGTAAATAGCGATTCCTCCATTGCGCACCTTTCCCTTCTCCCCTCAACAATAATCCCCGTATATACACAACAAAGACGAAATGATTTGACATCCTGACGTCATATATATATGAAACAACGCCCTTTGTTTGGAAACACGAAAAAAATGGGAAAACAAATTAAACAACAATGCACTATGCAATAATGTATAAATTAATGACAATCATTTTCGCACGTGTCATTATATATTTATACCATAAATAACTGTTACCTACTTCTTTAGATTTTTCCCCCCCAAAATGATTGATTTTACTGTATGATATGTTTTCATCTTACCGTTTCATTCTCAACGATGCACATCTGTTCAACTTCCATGATTCCTCTCTTTTACAGTTGATTATTATTGCTTGTCGTTAACTTTTTGCAATATTATTTTACAATTTGTATATGAGAAAACTTTTACAGGACTTCACAACACAACGTGTATCTGTTTACAAACACTGCAAGGTCACTCAGCTGGCCGCAGACACACTATTGTTGAGAGAGTGGTGGAGTGCTTCTTCTTGCGTCATCACTCGCGACACTAGCGCCACGCGCGGCAAATTTTGAAACTAAAATTCAAATTTGAATTTCCTTTGTCACAATATTTTTATTATTTTTGAATTCATTATTATTAATTACAACTAATTGATAAATAATCGCAAATTGGGAAGTAATTTTGATAATTAATTTTTTTTTTAAATTTTACAAATTGCAAAAAGCAATCTGCTTTTTTTCTATTGGTTTCATTAAAATTAAACTTTAATTAACAAATTAATATAAATAAACTAAATACTTAAATGTTATTTATAGTCAAATATAAATGATATAAAAATTTTCTTGATTTGTAATTGTTTTAATAATAAATACAATAAAATGAATTTAATTAATTTTGCTATTGAAATTTAAATAGTAAAAATAAAAAATTAGTAAAAAATAAATAGTTAATAGTAAATAAAACTAGAATCGTCAAATTAAAAATCGTTGCATATTAAGAAAAATTGAAGAATAATAATTTTCTCAAAAATGAATTTAATTAATCTTGCTATTAAAATTTAAATAGTAAAAATTAAAAAATTTACACTTATGAGACTAGTTTTTTTTTATTTTTTATTAGCTATCTGTATTTATTTCTTTTTTTCTTTTTTTATTAATAATTTATTTTCAGAAGCTGTAACTATTGATCAGCTCACCTTAACACTAACAGATAATTGTCGTGTAAATTGTTCCAATTACTGAGAGAAGATAATTACAAGATTCAAATCTCTGATAGTATCAGAATATTGATTTTGAGAGAACATTTTCATGGTTCATAGCAGAGGTACGATCAAATACTCTATACTATAATTTAGAGGAAAATTATTCAACTGTATTTTTTCACTCAATTTAATTGAAACAATAGACAATCTTCTAATTAGTAAAAATGTCCCTGAAGTAAACGTCAAAATAATTCTTCTTTTTTTTTAAAACATTTTTTAAGTTATTTCAATCATGGACAGATTAACAATAAAAAAATTTTTCACATTTAAATACAAACAAGTTTTTCAAAATTAATTTTCATTGAATGGAAAAAAGGTGTTAATTTTTTGATTAATTTACAAATTTTTCGAAAATAAACCAAAACTGTGACAATTTGGAATGAATAATGATGAAATTGATCATGAATTCGATTGGATTGTGAGAACTTGCTTGAATGGACTCAATATATTTATTACGATGCTTCATGTGGGTATTTCTGAAAATATGAACTATGAAATATTTACTTTTCCTGGTAAATATTTTTTCAAATTACGTTTCGAATATTTTTTTTTGATATAATTTTTATTTGGTATTATTTATTTTAATTTAGTTGTAATTATTTTTATTACGACTGTGATTGGCATTTTTATTACCACTGTGATTGGTATTTTTATTACTTCTATTTATATTATTATATAGTATTATTTTTATTGATACTTTAAATTATTTTTTATTATCAGTGGAATAATTAATTTTATTTATTATTTATCTTTAGTATTATTTATTATACATAGTTCTTGCCTTTCGGCTTTGAACGAGATTTTTTTCTTATTTACTTATTTATTTATTATTATTTTCATACATTACATTTTTTCTTCATTTATTATTATTTTCGTTCATTTATTTTCTCTTTTTTGATTTATTTTCTTTTTTTTTATTTATTATTTTTGTTTATTTATTGTATTTATTATTGTACTTTTGTTGATTAGTAATTAGTAATTAATAATTAATTTTAATCACATTTTTTATAGAATTTTTGGTTTATCCGCTATTTATGACATTGATTGATTATATCATGTACAGTAGTATATGAAGTGAAAAATTTACAAGTCACTGAAAGTAACAAATAAACTGAATGTAATAATTAATATTTTGATGAAACAATAAATAGTGAGGACAATTAAAAAAGTCAGTTAAATTAATCGGAACTTTAGACGAATTTTATTAAAGGTACGATCCTTAATCTTTATTTAATAATTTAATTTTTTCATTCGATTTTAATTCGTGGCGCTCACATTTAATAATAATTATGTTTATTTACTTAAATTAATTAATTTAATTATTTAATTTCATCTAATTATTTTAATTTTTCGAATTTATCTAATTATTTGAATTTATTATTTGAATTTATTTGTTTCATAAAAAATTTATTTATTTAAAAAAATTTCTTTTTCTTTTTTTTTTTTGATTAAAAATATTTTTATTGTATTTAATAGTGAAAGATCTTGGAAATTTATTAAAAATAACGTATAAATCTTTTCTTACGTTTGACATTAATTTCTAATATCTTCCATAGTAATTTTGATAGAAATTATTTGGTAAATATTCTTTCTCGTATCCACTCGAATATTTAGTATCATAATCGTCTCTGTAATAATCCGTCCAAGTATCATCGGATCCATCGTAGTATCGTCTCATGGCAGGATAATAATGATCATCATTATAGTAATTACGTTGATTTGAGTAATATCTAGAACAAGAAAGAAAATTAATATTAATTTAAATTAATAAAAATTAAATACCAATTTCTTTATCAATATTTTACGAATTTTAATAAAATTCTCTAAATCTTTCTAAATTCTTCAAATCTATAAAAAAAAATTTGTACACTATTTTAGAAATACTTTTTTGTCGAAAGAAAATTAAATTACCCTGTATCGTATAGATTTCGAGGATAATAAGCATTATAATGAGGATTTTCATGAGGGTAATATTCGTTAGGATAATAAACATGGGGATGTTCTCGGCGATAGTAGTAGATCTCATTTCCATTATGATCATAATATCTTCCTGCTCCATCGTGATAGATTTTTCTCCTATCGTCATCGTAGCGACTGTTGTCATACCCTCCAGCGTAATTGTACCGATTCTTCTGTCTGTAATGTACACAAAAAAAAATTAATTAAAATTTCACTTAAAAAAATATTTTCCTATTTGAAAGAATAACAAAATGTGAAGATATCAATCAGTACAAATTACCTTCACATTTCTGTTATTAAGAACAAGAGAATGATAAAGTTATTTCTATTAAAAAAATAGAATTTTAATTACATACTTAGAAATTACTTAATAGAAATTAAACTTTCTTTTTTGTCTCTTGAAAAAAGGTAATAAAAGATTTTTCGTAAATAAAATTAAGATGAAAATATTGACTCAAAATTCTTTACCCTTTTCCCTTGTCATAAACGCCGTGATTGGCATTATTCTTGGAAGTTAAAGCCCTGTCGTGAGCGTCATCCTTGTAGGAATCCTCGGTCTTCTCATATTGTTGACCATTACGTCCTTTATAATCCTTGTGGCCTTTTTGATTATCACTGTCCTCGTAGTAACTCGAATTATCACTGGATTCATCCTTGTGATATTTATTGACAAAACCACTTCGATGATAGCCCTTCTTCTCCTGTCCTTTGTCATGTTTCTCATGAGAATGTTCACTTTGATCGGTTTTTTTCGATTCACCATCAGATTGTCGAGCAATTTCGTGACCCTTTGTCACTGAATCCTTCTCATCGAAATGTCCCGATTTTTTCTCCTCCTCATGTGAATTGGACTCCTTTTTTTCTGACTCGGCACTATCCTCATTGTGACTACTCCCCTTATCACGAATAAGATATTCAGATTCACTTCCACGATTTGTAAAGTCCTTAATTGACGATCCTTTCTCATTGTCCTTCACATTGTCCTCAAGATCAGAATGAAAATTTGTACAATTCACAAATGAAATTAGAAGAGAAATTGTACAAATCCAGAATATATCCATTGATTTTCCTTGATTTCCCCAATTCTCCTATCTTGAAAATAAAAATTAAAAAATTATTATTAGTCAATTTTCCAGAAAATGATAAATTTAATTTTTTGGTTCACGTTTTCTTTTAACTTTTTAAATTTATCATTTTTGAAAACTAAAATTATTTCACTCTCAAGAATAGTGAAAAGATAATTAGCAACATACCGAAACGTAGTTATAGAAGAATCTGCAGATTTCCTCGGAGAAAATCGCCTCTTGTAAGTGTTCGAAAATCCTTGTAAAAGCGACAAAACGAAATACATCCTGTTCTCAAGAGAGCTAAAAAGAGTTAATTTACTCCAGAAAAAAAAGAAACACAAATCCGTGAAGAATATATCCTTTTTTGAAAGCTGTAAATTCAATTTCAAATTATTTCTTCGTGGTCGAGGTTCTTTTAAACGCCTCACCGAACATAACAATGACATGTTGCATTACGTCAATTTCCCAATTTCCTCAAATATTTAAATAACACTTTTCGAGAAAAAAAAATCTTTTTCTCTAAACAAAATTGTTTTTGAATAAAAAGAAAATTTCCCTTACCAAGAAAAAAATTCTGAAAAAAATCTCTTTTTGACAAATTTATTTCTGAAAAAATTTCTCTTAACAGTAAAAAATTATCATTCGAAAAATTTATCTCTCGAAAAAATTTTCTTTTGGAAAAAATTTATGTTCGAAAAAAATTCTTTTCTTTTGCAAAAAAAAAATAACCCTCGCCTTATCCACATTTTTTTCTCATCAATAAAAGAACTTGTTTATATAAAAAAAACTTTATTTAAAATCTAGAAACGTCTGGCGACATAGTTACAAGTACTTTTTCAATGGAACCAGTGAATTAAAATTCCTCAGCAAAAAAAAAAAACAATATATACTCAATAACGTTTGCTATTTTTTCACTAATATAAAATAACTGTTTAAAGTTACAAAAGAAAATTTCTAAAATTAAGAAACCAGTATTTTTATTTTTTTTTTAAACGCAAATAAAGCGGGGACTAGAGTTGGCAAAAGGTAAAGAGTATATATAAAAATATTCAAAACTTATATTTTATGAAACCTCAATCAAACACAAATTGATCGAGAATAGTAGGTACAAGATGACTGTACTCGTGACTAAGTTTCGTCATAACGTTTAAAAAAAATGAGGAGAATGGGAGACAAAAAAAATTTTTTTTTGGGGCCGATAATAGTCGGTTACTTATAACGCATTATATGATACACAATATCGTAGTCACTTAATAATATTAATTTTTTTTTTGCTGCAACAGCAAGCACTCAAAAAAAAATATACTTGTTATTCACGCAAACAATGAACTCGCACGTACTTTAAACATTCTTTAAACATTATTTTTTTCCACACGAAGCAAACGATATTTTTTAGTTTCTGCATTTTCACTTGTAATTTAATAAATTAGATGTTTCACATTCAATAAAACAGATAATTTCATTGACAAAAATTTAACGAGAACTTTTTTATTACAATGTTACTTAGTTATTTACAAAAAAAGAGAAAAATATGAAAAATGAAAAAAAAAAATAAAAAATGAATAAAAAACAAAAAATGAAAAAAACCTAAAGGTTATAAATTTAATTATTTAATAATAGCGATTTACTCTTAATAAATTATTCAAAAGTCGAATTTAAATAAATTTAATTTAATTTAATTAAATTTAATTTAAATAAATCGAAGATCTACAATTGCCAAAAATATTCTTCGAATTAATAAATAATTAAAGCAGTATTATTCTCGAAATAATTGAATCGTCAATTATTGACATGAAATTATCTGTAAAATTATAAAATGTAACGACTGCAATTAAATCACGTCTCTTAATGCAACTGAGAAAAGTTCAGTTTCTGTTTTTAAAGTCTAGCTGCACGTCGATATCGAGTCGAATTAAATATTCAAAAAAAAAGAAACGATCATTATCAACAAAAATCGTCGCACTTATGGGCAGTGATGAATTGAAAAACATTCTCTTTGATTTTTGAAAGTTTATCAACTACTTGAAGAAAATGACTCGAATTATAAAAGTGCTTATTAATTTCTCCATGGTAAAAATGTTAAATTAATTTAGTAAAATAATTTCTTTGATAATTTACAAAAACACTAATTCAATTAATAATTCAATAAAATACAAAAATTCGTTGATATTATTAGTAAATTAATGATTTAGTTAATTGGTGAATTAATAATTTACTGAATCATTCATCTAAATAAACATTAAATTATTAATTTAAAAAAGTATTGATTTAGTAAATTAATAACTTAGTAAATTATTTGTTTCGGACATTATTAATTTAGTAAATTATTTATTTCGAACATTACAACTTTAGTAAATTATTTGTTTTGGAAATTACTAATTTAGTAAATTTATAATTAATGAAATTATTTGTTTAGAAAACTATTAATTTAATTAATTATTAGTTCACTAAATTATTCATTTAGGAAATTATTAATTTAGAAAATTATTAGTTTAGAAAATTATTAATTCAGAAAATTATTAATTCAGAAAATTATTAATTTAGAAAAATATTAATTTAAGAAATTGACTTGAAATGATAAATTTAGTTAATTATCAATTGAGTAAATTATCAATTTAGTTAATCATCAAATTAGTAATTTACCAAATTATCAATTAAATTAATCATTAAATAATAAATCACCAAATGATAATCGATCACTAAAAATGTCTTTTTAAATATAATAAATATAAAACAATGATAATAATTAATATTAGTAATAGTTGTAATAATAATAATAATTCCTAAAGAAATTAATTCCAAATATTAAAAGTCTTATAATAATGAAAAATTTCAATTTGAATGAATATAAAATATAATTTAATTTTCTTTGGCAGTTGGAAAACTTTCGAAGTGCGGACTATTTAGCCGATTTTAAATTTGTTTCTTTTCTTTAATTTCATACTCTAAGCAGTGTGTATGTGTTTCTATGTGTCAAAACTATCACAAACAGTCTGTTGCTATTCGCATTATAAAATGTACTTAATTAAGGGTGGCCTTTAAAAATGTTTTCTACAAAAATAATTTTCTCTAGTACATTATTTTCCTTCCATATTATTCGTTTACTGTTTTTTTTCAGATTTTTGTTTCTGAGATACACTTGTATCTTATAAAAAAATAAATTTTTAGTTTTGATTTCAGTTCTTTTTTTTCTATACAGAACTGGGCAATTTAAAAAAGAAATTGTTCAACAGTTTCTGCTTTTTTAGAAACTTTTCTTCGTCTTTAAATATTTTTTTTGTTTCAATTTTTATGTAATTATTTTTTCTTGCTTTTTATTTCCTTTTTCTTACTTCTTTTTTTCTTTAATTTTTTTTTTGCATAATTATTTTTTATTTAATTTATTTCGCTTCACTATTTTTTGATTTATGTTTTTTTTGTCTGATTTTTTTTTGCCCTATTTTTTGCATTATTTCTTCTAAAAGTTTCAATCTATTGGGTCTTTCATAAAATTTCGATTAATTTTTAAAAAATGCAATCTTTTCAACAAAATAAAATTTTTCCCGTTTTTGTTCATTTTTCTCTCAAATAAATTGAAAATAAATAAATATTTTAGTGTGAAATTTGAATTTCACAGATAAAGTGTTACACACAAATTTAACGATTAAAAAATGAGATAAAAATTTGTATTGCAATAATCAGTTCTTAAAAAAATTTTTTTTGTTCAAATGCTAAAAAAACAATTGAAATCCAATATTTTTTTGTAAAATTTTATAAAAATGTTATTTAAGAAATAATTGAACGAACAAATGGAACAAAAGTCAGTCCATCTTTATAAATAAACAAACAATTTAGATTTAATTGGAAAATTTTTGAATATTCGAACTTTTTAATTTTCGAATCATTGGAAAAAAATAGAAAATCAAAAATTTTATTTTCAAAAATGTTTATATTTCTATAATAAATAATAATGGTTAATAATATTTAATCATAAATTAGGTTTGATAATTAAATAATAATGTTGAAAATAAAATTAAAAAATTTTTAAATATTTGATAAAAATGGAATAAAATTTTTTACTGTCCGTCCAATTTTTCCTCTATTATTGAAGCCCAGTTCTGATTCTACAAAACCGAAAAAAATACATCTAGTATCAAAAATTATCTATTCGCTAAATAAGGTAAAAAAAAGCCAAATAAAAAGTAGGCCACCCTCTTCTTGGAAATAAACGCCAGTACGTTTAGCGACGTTATTTTCATTATCGTAACTTGATAATTTATACTTATTCTGTACATGTACGTTCGTATACACTACATTACTCAAATAGATACATACATACTGTACATGTATTTTTATGTACAGATTTTGGCGAATTAAAAATACTCGAATGTTTGTATCTCGTGTGAATTTGATGAGCAGTAAAACCACACTTAAAAAATAATTATTAACTTGAAACCCACTATCCATTCGATCTCAATTTGAATATCGTTCTTGTTCAAAGAGGATTAATTCATTCTTTTAAAGAAAATTTTCAACAAAAAAATGGAAGAACAACTCTTTCTTTCTTTTCTTTTTTTTCGACAATCAAAAATCAATTCTTCTGCATAATTCACCATTGATTATCCTCTTTCGATATTCTATAGTTGTTATCATTTTTACTATATAAATTGTATTGAATGTCATTTTTAATGGACTTGGAAGCGCTGCTACCGACTGAAGAATTTGTTGGCGAATTATTCAATACTTCTTGTAATTGTTGAATTGAACGCATAACCATTTGAACATCGTCTTTCTCTTGATCACTAGCTGGTGTTGAACCCAATAGATCATCAATACTAATTGCTTCTTTTTTCTCTGGTAAATCATCATTAATAATCTGACTAAGATAATTTGTTGCCGCAACTGTTTCTTCAATTTGTTTTTGTTCTTGTTCAATTTTTTCCTTATCACTTTTACTCTCTCTCTTTCTTTTCTTTGTCTCATGGGTTTTTTGATGTCGACCATCATAATAACGCTCTTGTTTCTTCTCGCTTTTATTTAAATAATCCAAATCATGATCAACGTCAGTTTTACGATTATGAATTGTTTCAATGGCGGCATCTTGAAGTACACGTATTGGCATTGAAACCATAACGGAATTTTGATTATTTAAATCCTGACGGGAATGATAATGGCTTTGTTGCGATATGTTTGTTGTTGCTGCTGCTGTTTCATTATGTGTTGCTGTTATTGTTGTTGTTTCAGAGAATGGAATAATTGAGACAGTGTCTTTTTTTATATCGTTGGTTTTTATTGTTATTGGTTTTTGATAATCAACGGGTGTTATTGATAGGGAACTATTACTGGTGAGATCCATGGGATTGAATTTTTCAATATTATTTGAGGGCTTCGCCAATAATTGCGCGGTAGGCACGACGGTTATTTTTCCGATAGGCACGTTAGGAGGAGTCGCGTTTTCTGTTTGTTTATTTATTGTGAGACTACTATTATTCTTTTCTTTATGCTTCGAACTGATTTGCTTTTTTTCATTATATGAATCATTGGATTTTGTTATTGTTAAATTGAGCGAATTTTCCGTCGAATTTACCTTATATGAATTGGAAATTGTTTTCCCTTTATCAAATGCATGATGTGATGATGTATTATTTGCAATAGTTTCCGATTTTTGAGTATTATTAACACTACCGGAAGCAATGACAATGCAGTTTGATGAAACACTCGTGTCCTTTGATTTCTTTTGCTTCTTCTTAGGGCTAAAATCAAAATAAAATTTATGTAATTCTTTTCTCTAACATTCAAAATATATTAGAAAAAAAAAAATAAAAACGGCTAAAATCCTTTTCATTAACATTTAAATTTAATTATTAAAAACTTATCTCTTAAATTTATTTTATCAAAAGAATGTTAGTATTCTTTTTCTTTTTCTGTTTTTATAATTTTATCTTTTATTCTCATATTCAAACGTCAGTGAAAAGAAAAAAATAATATTTCAAATATTTTTTGCAAAAGGTTTAACTTAAAAGTAAAAAAAAATTTTTTGCGAGAGGTTTAATGTCAAGGAAAGTAGGTGAGTGTATGAAAAAAATAAAACATAAATTATTTATATCAGAGAAATTTTTAAATTTTACAAAATAAATATTAAACAAAAAATTTTTGAACACATGTAGTATATAAAAAAAAATAATAATAATAATTAAAAATAAACGACAATTTAAACACAAAAAAAATATTCTAAATACTTTGAAAGCCAATTCAGGTATTTTAAAGCGTATTCTCGAAGTTCATAATTCGTGAAAAACTATTTGATAGAAATTACATTCGTCATAACAAAAAATATTAGATTTTAATTTAATTCTATGAATAATAAATTTTTTTTTTCAACGCCTCAACATTATGTAAATAAGACGTTTAGAAGTAATGATCCTTGTTAGCATGAAATTCTAATGATCCGAAAAAAAATCACCTCCTAAAACACATAATATAAGAAACAAAAAAATAATGATAATAAATGAATGTTTGCATAATTGCCAAAACTAAAAAAACAATGTTTTTTAAAAGCACTTCATTATAAATATGCTAAAAAATTATATTAAATTTAACATTCAATTTCTAGAATTTTCACTTATTTTTACATAAACATTTTTTTTGGTTTTTAGAATAAAAACAAAAGCAAACAATATTTTGTTTTTAAAGATCTCAATTAACGCTTCATCAATGGCAAATAAGTATTAATTAAAAAATACTTACGAAACAGTGCCAGTAGCACATTGTAAAAGATTTTCTAATTTCATCCAACCTTCAGGCCAAAGAGGTAACACATCCGTCTCAAAAAACGTTGCGATAAAAGTATCTAAACTTTCTTTCCTCGTTCTCGAGATTTTGAAGTAACTTTTCCTGCTGCTTGCCATTTCTCGCACAATGTTTCTACAAGAAAAGAAAATAGAAAATTTAAATATTTTCCAAGCAATTATTTTTCCTTTTTTTTAAATTAATAATAAAATAAAAAATACAACATTAATAGTAATTTCACGGAATTTTTACTACTAAAGACAATGAAAAGTTTATATTACATGCTATCATCGTTCCAAGGAAACTTTTTCTGTGGCATTTTGTCTGAATTTTTATTTACACCTCCATCAGCATCATTTTGATCAGATAAAGAATCTCTGATTGGCGACTGAAGATTCCTGAAAATAAATTAATGAATTAAAATTTATAATCTACAAAAAATGTAATTGAAATAAAAATTAATGAATGAATCAGACAAAATTCGTCGATTCGGTAAAATAATGTTTATATTTATAAACTTTATTTATTTACTTTTTATTATTAATTTACAGTTTAATGATTAATTAACTGTTTGATAATTATTAATTTACTGTTTGGTAATTATTAATGTAATTATTAATGTATTAATGTAATTATTAATAATTATTATCTTACTGTTTAATAATTATCAGTTTATTATTTAAATACATAATAATCGTCGAATTTAGTCTCTAATTTCTAATAAATTGAATTTGCAATAAAATTCTGAGTAATACTATCGAAGATGAAAAACAGAATTAAATTAGATACTGATGATAAAAAGCCCCGATTTTTCTGTACAATTTTGATTTTTACTATGTAATAAATTATTTTTTTTAATAGAAATTCTACATAAAAAAAATTGGAAAAATATGTCACGAAAGTAAATTACAGAAAACGTCTCGAAATTTATACACAATGAAGAGTTATTTTAAATATTGATTGTTAGTTCAAGCATGAATAAAATTTCAAATTACGAGCGATAGAAAATTGGAAAAGATGTTAAAATAATAAAAATGGAAATTAGAATGAAATGTATTGGAACGTGAAAATAAATTTTCCTTTAGGGGCACCTTACCAACAGTATCGATAAATATCCCAGTATACTTGAGGGCTGAGAAATAAAGAGAAATTTTTGTTCAAATAAAATCTTTTTTCAATCCTTTTTTCAAAAAAATTAATTTCATATTTGCAATTTTCGAGAAAAGAAATGTACTTTTTTTACAGAATGTTTTTAATAGTTGAAAAATTTAATTCAAACTCTAAATCGAAAACTTTCAAGTAACAATAAAATAAAATACTCACTTATCTTCCATTATCCTCTGGCACTCTCTTTTATATTTTACCTCAGCCGCTGGCATAACTTGATCAATTATCGACTTTAACCTGAAACAATACAATTCTTTTACGAACATCGTGAATGTGCAAACTTATCCCGAATACAATATTTATATTCAAAATTTTCCATCTTCATTCAATAATAATTATCTTAACTTACTTTTCCAACTGGGATTTAACACGACCTCTTTGATACTGCATATGCATTTTTTTGGCCCGATTAATAAGTGTTGTTTTAGTGCAAGGTAAATGATGCGCTAAGTGTTTGTAGGTCAGCTGCCTTACGCTATTTGTGCCTATTACTCGAAGTTTACCCTCTAAGCTGAAAAGAAAATACAAATTTTGAAACATTTCTTTTTAAATTTTTTTTAAAATAAGTAACAATAAATTTAATATAAATTCTTACCTGAAGAGAAGCGTACTAACGTTTGGAGAGAAAAATTTACTCTTTCCAGTTGCTTGTTTAGCGAGAATTTTTAAATTATTACAAATTTCTTTAACATCATCGGGAAGGCAATCTGGCAAAGGACACTCTTGTTTATCTAGTTCCTCGCAATCGGACTCAGTTCCAGGAGCACCACGTGACTTTCCAGAATCCGAAGTTTCACGACTCGATTCATCAACATCAACATGTGAGGCATTAACTACACTTTCAATAGCGTTGTCAATATTAGTATCCTTTTTTACCTCCTTTACCTCCTTTACCTCCTTTTTTGAATCAAAACCATTGCTCGATACTTTTTTCACAAATTTTTTCACATCAAATTTTTTCTCTCCTGTTGTTGTTGTTGTTTTCGTACGTTGAACATCATTTAATTTTGTATTCTTTTTCTTTTCCTCTGATTCTAATTGAGATAAAAAAGAAAAGGAAATAAATCAAAAATAAAGAACTAAAACATCAAATATTCTTTTTAATATAAAATCAATAATTACCACCATTTGTTTCTTTCTCTGACTTGTCAACTTTACTCTGCTCTGTATTCTTTTTAACTGACTCAGACTCTCGAGTATTTTGTGAACTATTATTTTGAATCTCCTCGGACTGATGATTTAGTTTCTTCTTTTTTCTAACCACATTATCATTATTAGATTTCTTCTCAACAACTTCTTCCAATTTTTGTTTCTGAAAATAGAAAAAAATTCATTTTTGTGTCTTGATTTAAAAACAAAATTAATAAATGATGAATTTGAAGACAATTTTTTACCTTTGCAGGATGTTCTCGAACAATTTCTTCTCCTTCTTCACATTCTGAGGAAGAATTTGTACGTTTATCTGATCTCTTGGGTGTATCTTCTTCATCTTCATCGTCTTCACTACTTTCATCGTCGTCATCGTTATAATTTCGAACATTAAAGACAGTATTGTTGTTGGCATTTTTGAATTCAAGAGCTCCACTATTAATATAGAAGCCTCCATAAGCTGTCGTTACCTCATCGGGTACAATTTCATCGTACTGTACAATTACAAAGAGAAATTATTAATTCTAATCAAAAACTTTTTTGAAACTTGATATTTATCAATGACGACAGACACTTATAAATAGTTCAAAAATACAAAATATTAAATAAAATATTAAATTTTAATTCTTTCAAAGAAATTTGATTAAATGTATTGTTACTAAATAATTAATGAAAATCAAGCCTCGGATCGACTTTAAGGTGTCAAAAAAAGAGTCGGTTTTGTTGATTACAAATACAGAACAAGTCGAAAAAGTCACTTATTTTATTCAGTGTAGTCAGAAAATTTCATTTTGTATTTTTCTAAACTTTTACTGATTTCTAAATTCAATTAACTTCAGAACTTCAAATAATTTTTTTGGGAAATATTTAAATTTCGAAATAATTGAAATTTGGTAAAATTTTTTGAAAATAGTTGCAATTCTTTAGAAGAATTTTTAGAAAATATAAAGAAATAATCAATTTTTTGAAGAATTTTAATTATATTTACGACCATGATTTCTCCGAAATTTTAATAAGTTTGAAAAAGTAAATTCTTATACATTTTTATTTATTCTGTTCAAAGATTATTGAATCTTAAAAAATTACGATAAAATAATTCAAAGAATTAGTTTTAAAAAATATTTTAATGTCATTTTTCGAAAATAATTGAATTTCTTAAAAAAAAATTTACTATTTAAAAAAACTAATGAATTTTTTGATGAATTTTAATTAAAAATTTTGAACATGATTTTTTTTTCTCCAAAATGTTAAAAATAATAAATTCTAAAATGTTATTTTTTGTATGTATTTGATCATTTGATTTTTCGGAAATATGTAATTGAGAATAATGAAAATATTGAATTTTCCAAAATTAGAAGCTAATTTTCATTTTTAAATTTACATTTAAAGGTTTTACATTAAAATTTTTGATATGTACTTCAATCATTTTCAAAATTTGCTATTAAAATTCTTTAAAAGTTGATTTACAAAAATTTTAATAAAATACTTGAAAGAAATTAATTATTTCCAATTTACAAAATTTCAATTATTCAAAATATTCCAAAAATATGGTATTTTGTTGCAATATTTGGAGAAAAAGTCGCAATTTTTGAAAATACAGAAAAAAGTTTTAATTTTCCTAATTTCCTTGACAGAAATTTTTTTTCCTGTCATTTCCTTGAGTTTGCTGACAAAACTTTTGTTTAAGTCGAAAAAAAGTCTAAAAGCTCGTACTATCTGAGACCTAAATTTTTTCTTAAAAGTAAATTTAAAAAAAAAAACTTACAGCATCCGTGTTATCGATGAAAGAATCATTTTCATCGTAACCGGCACCCAAATCCGTGTAACCCTGTAATAAAATTTATATCATGAATATTACTGAATTATTTTGAATATAAAAATTCAAGAATTAAAATTACAAAATTAAAAATACAAAAATTCAAAAATTTTCTTCGAAAGAAGTAAACTTTTTAATCTTACATATTTGGCTTCGAATTTTTTCGCCATCTCTTTGAGATTATCCTCATCGTCATCATCATAGGGATCCAATCCATTCGTAGTGTGATTATTTTTTCGTTTATTCTCCTTAATTCGCTTTTTCTAAAAACAAAAATTATCCAATTAAAAAAATTGCAAAATAGCAAATAAATAGAGGAATAAAGTAGCTAAATAAATGAAAAAAGAGAACAAAATAAAAAAAAAGAGAAATTCAAATTTAAAAAATAAAAAAAAAATTCTGTTAATAATAATAATTATTAAATGAGAAATTGCAATATAAAAAAGATGCGAATAAAAAAGAGGAAACGAGTGAGACGCGAAGGTAGGTGTTGGATGTTTTAGAGAAGAGAACGCTTGGGGGTGTTGTGGGGTGGGTGGTTTAGGGATAGACGGTTAGGGGCGAAGGGGGTGGTGTAATCATCCAAGGGTACGCAAAGTGTCCATCGGAACCAGGAGCGCACGACTATATACGATTTTGCGCGACAGTCTACACAAATACCAATCGAGAAAAGCTATTTTGTCCCCCCCCCCCTAACTTTGAGTTAACTTCTTCCCTAGAGAAGCTCTGATTCTGTCCACTTCTGATCTCCTGTTACTAGGTCCTTAGAATGATAACGCCTGATGTATATAAAAAAAATAACAAAAAATAGCAAACATTTTTCCCTTTCCCCCCTAAAAAAAATAATTTTTCTATTTCTACCAACACTATCAGAAATAAATTAAAATCACAATTATTACAAAACAAAATCAGTAAGCATATGGAAAAGAAAAATAGCACGTGACCTCAAATAATATATGAAATGGTGGATGGCTACACAATAACCGTCCATATACACAAAAAAAAAACCGAATAAGAACGGAAGAAAAAAAAAGGAAGCTGTCGGCGACAGTCGGGATCAATATCCATCAGTATAAAGATGCGTTCAAGAAAATTCAACACAGAAATGGATTTAAACCTGTTCTCGGCAGTTACTTTGTTTGGATGAGCAAATCCCCCTCCCACTATGATTTGATGCCAATTCCTAATAAAGAAATGCAAAAAAAAATGAAATATAAAAAACAATTCTTGTATTAAGAATCTCGACGAGAGGAAAAGCAAAAAAACCGAAAGGAATTTTCTTTATTAAAAAAAAATGGTTAATTTGGAAAATTTCAATTAATTAATTAATTAAATAATTTAATTACAATTTGGGAAAAGTTTTTGCAGAATTTGGATAAAATTGAAACACATGTTTGGATTATGGTATAAATGAAACGTGCGCGAACGTGTCGCTGCTCGCGTTTCTACACACGGATCTTTGTCCTTCGAATTAAAAAGAAAGGCATAATGGCAACGACGATAAGATGTTAGCTTCGACTGCGATTTATAAAAGAGACACGAGAGAGACTCGATCCTATATAAAATATATTTTGGGGAAAATGAAAAAATATGTCGCAGTTTATGAGTTAGATTTTTGCAGGTTACTTCAATTCATTCAAGTAAAAAAAAATCCCCCACTGTTTGAGAATTAATCGTATTTTCTCTCGAGAAAATAAAAGAAAAAGAAATTAATTTTCTTAATATAAATTTGATTAAGTAAGAATGGTTGGCAGGTTATCTAGGTCTACGATCACCGAGCCTACCGCAACGTGACAGTACGTATGGTCTGCTCCGTATGGCAGACGAATGAGATTAGAAAGGTTTGCAAATCGATCACACTTATTTTCACATATTTTCATTAAAAATTGCAATTGGAGCATAGAAAAAAATAGATGTTTATTATCTGAATAAAAAAAATAGCTGCTATGACAGATCAATGCTACCCATGGGATTCACGTGGCTGATATGATTGTCGGCGAAAAATAATACACAAGGAAGTAGCCGACGCCTTCTTGTACAATCTTGCCATCGGAAAATTACGAAACTAGTCAACAGGGCTGGTTCCTGATTCTTTAAACAAAAAAATAATCAACCCGTCATAGTGCGATAGGAGGAGAATGAAAATTTGAATATCCAGGGAAATAATTGGACGTGAAGATGGGGAATGATTTTTTTCTGGTGATTAGAGACATTTACTAACCTCAGCATTTTTTAGAAGTTTAGTATAGCTGAACTCCGGACATCTCTCTTCATTAGGTTCCGGCAGGGTCAACGTAAAGCGGTGGGAGGGAAGGAGCTTCTTGTCCTTATCCTTCTTGGCGGCGTGGCCCAGGGAATCCGGAAACTCCAGGGTTTGCAAGGGAACCCGTTTTGGTTCTGACATTCTACATTTACACTAAACTCAACACGAATCACAGAAACACTTGCGCGAACTTGACAACATGCTTTTTTAAATGCCGCCCCAAATCCGCCACTCACACCGCGTCGCCATTGTCGCCATATTGGCTCGTGCTCCACTGTTTTGGTTTTTACGGCACACTTCCGCTACCTAGTGTCGCTTTTCACTATTAAAACTTGTGCGCATGCGTCGTACTATTCGCGCGAAATTCAAAATAACACTTACAAACTCAACATTTTAAATACATTTAAATAATTATTATTTAGATTTGTATCTTGTATTTGCATTTTGTATTCTTTATTATTAGTTTGCAGTAAAAATAAATTGTCCCTAAAAAATTATTATCAAATAGTAACAATGAATTAACAATTAATTTATAATTTCCATTCTTATTTCTTGTTTTGCAACTATTATCCTTTCGCTAATTTCAAATGCGTCAATTTATCCTTCTTATTGCATCACCCGGAAAGGAATATTTATTATTTCACACACACATAAACATTTTGTTAAAAAAAAAAATCTTTTTTCCATGACTAATATAAAGTTCAAGACAAATGACACATAACATTGTTGCAAGTGTATTTTTTTAATAGTTGTCATAATACATCATTAAAGATAGTATTTAGATAATTATACAGTAATTAACTGGAATTAAAGACAATATAGTAAATTATTAATTGAAAATTGAAAATTCAGGGGAAAATTAACAATAATTTGCTGACCAATCAGTGACAATTTACCACGCATGCGTACAAATTTGCGACGCATCATACTTCTTAGAAAAGAGAAAAAAATTGCAAATATATTACATCAACTTTTAGAAAATACAAAAATTGAACGAAAAAAATTAATTTTTAGAATTTTCATTACAGGGGGAAATTAAATCTTATATAAAAATACAATTACCTGTGAATGATAAATGAATTAATTCATAAAATTGATTAAAATTAAATTATGACATCAGCACTCCTAGCGGTGAAGTGATTCACTAATTTATTGTATTGATGAAAATGGCCGCTTGATATTGTATCCAGAATGATTGCAAATATTATTTCGGAATTTACCATGGAATCTTTTAATATTATCTCTAACTTGGAAGTTGATGTTGATTCTAATTGTGCAAATATTACTCGTGATTGTAAGTGTGGATTTAATTCTAAAGTTATTCTCGAAAATCAAAGACAATACGGATACGCACAACAGCCTTGCTTTAAGAATTGTCACGCCTTTAAAGGCCGTCCTTGGCGGAAAAATTCAGGTAAATTTGATAAATTTTATTAACATTTCTTGTATTTTAGTATAAATTTGAATAACTCTTGTGGATCGGATTTTTTTTCGAAAAGTAATCATTGAAAATTAATCATTGTCTTGTAACTTCTGATGTCTCATACTATAGTTTGTTGAAAACGATTGCGTATTTGCACGTTTTCATTTTTTTTTGGATATATTTTATAATATCCAATTCTGGGTTATGAAATTCGAAAAAATTGAAAGTAATTACAAGAATTGAAATGCAAACATTTCGTAGACAAATTATGATGAATTTTAATATCAATTTTGTCAACAATGTCAAAAAAAAGGAAAAAAAAGAGGGAAATTAAGATGTAAATGGAGAAATGTATTTAAAAAATGATAATTTCCAATCTTTGCTAATTAGTAAAAATGTCAAACAAACTATAAGGGAATTGTAAATGAGACTTTTGTATTTTCTCACTGTTGGTTTGTATGTGTAATTAGTGTGCCACTGATACAATTCTCATTGTTTAGTTTTGTAACTATAGTTTATTTCAAACACACTGTTCATACTGTAGAACAGTGTTTGTACAAAGTAATATCATTTTCTAAATTATCTTTGTTCTTTGATAGAATAATGGAAGAATGTTTTGTAAACCACTTTCTATTTTTAAACCATTTTTTTTGAAAAGGAATTTAAAGTTTTATTATTTATGTATGAAATGCACTGATTGTATTTAATTATTCAGCAGATAAAATTAAATTCTGTAATTGAGAACTAAATTTCTGAATATTAAATATTAATTAACTGTTTGTAATTAATATTCAAAAATTAGTTTTAAAATCCAAAAAGTTTATTTGTTGAAACGGGATAGAATTTTCGAGTAAACTTTTTATGTAATTGAAAAACATTTGCAACAGGTGGGGGTAATTTTATAAAAATTGTCTACAACTTTCTAAAGTTAATATTAAATTTTTAAACTCCATTCGCGGAATGATGCAATAATTTGTTATTAACTATCCGGATATTTCAAAATGATGCAATTTTTCTACTTTTTTTTCTTTTTGCTTTTGTATTTTTAATGTGTGTCTATTTTTTTGCAGTAAAAGGTGCATTTTTTGAAAGTGGAGGCGGAGAAGTCTGGACTTACTGAAGTATCATATGGAGCCTTCTAGAAATCAATTATACTTAAATTGGCAATCCCCTGTAACATATAATCCTTTTGTGAATCAAACAAAAATGTATTCAACAATGAATTCAACAAAATCCCCAATTGAAAAAATGCATTCGAAGCAAGCTTTAAATATGCATTCCCCAACGATTGTTGTGACGCCAAAAAAAGGGAATATATTTCAAAATATGTATAATTCATTGGCAACAATATTCGTCGATCAACTCGCGAAAGTGCCAACAACATTAATCAATCATTTTACAAATGTCAATAATTCCTTGAGTGTCACTATTGTTCCAAATGAGGGAATAATATCACACGAATTTTTTAAGACCCTCACTGGTCAAAAGGATCAATTGTCAGAAAATATGTATATACAATGTATCCAAAATAAGGAATCATCAATTGATTTTATTGACACAATGAAATTGAGTAATAAAGTTCATATACCAAAGGACGAATTTCTAGGCAATACGAATGATTCTAAATTTCCGATTTTAGATGATTTTGATTTGTGTCTAGATTTAGAGCCAATGTTTTTATATGAGAAAGCATTCGACAATAATCATCATACTAATCGAACAGTTATGAATGATAAAAAGAAATCGAGTGAAATAAATATGGAGACTATTGATGACAAAATTATTCCTGAGGACGAAATTATTATCAAGAACAAAGTAGAATTGTATCAAAATACTAAATTATCGAAGAATTCGTCAAATGACAAATTACAATTAACGGAAAATAATTCATTTTCCAATATGTGGAATGCAGTTATCAGTGGTGTGACAGATCATTTTCGTTCATTTTCACCGGCACAGAAGAATAATAATAATCAGCATCAATCGAAAAATCGTCGAAAAGCAAATTGTGTGTCGAGTGGACGAGGTCGTGGCAGGGGAAAATCACAATTGAGACGCAATGGTGTCAGTCAAAGTAGACACAGAAAAGAGAGGGGTAAACATCAAATTTTTACCGATATTCAAGATGATTTTGATACATGGGAAGAATTTGAATCGTATACGGAACCATTTAATTGTCTCGGCTATGAGGACAATAATGATGATAATGATAATAATGGTGATGCTGATAATATTGACACTATGATAACAATTGAGAATCCTTCTTATACACTGAACTTTGAATTGATCGATTTTAAACCGAAGAAAATGAAGCAAAAAAAGAATATTCTCGTGAAGACAGACAGCTTCTCGATGAAAGTGAAATTTGTACCTGAATGTTCCTTGGAGGAAAGAGAGGCAACCTGTACAGTAGATAAGACTGCCTTTCGTCCTAGACTGATTTCGGAAGCTTCTGTTGATTCTGAAGACAGTTACATTGTCTTTCAAACAGGCGACGATTCAGATTTCGACTGTTCAGATGAAACTGAGACCAGTGATAGTGACACTGATACCGAGAGTGAGACTGATGATGAACCACTGAAAAATAGGGTTTGTATTTCAATATCTCCTTTTGTTTATAAACAAATATATTTTGAAAATATTACAATTTTCTTAAATATTCACTAATAATTCAAATTTTTATTTATTATTACGATGTAGATATTTTTTTTGATATTTAATTCTATTTTTATTGCTTTTTAATGACTCACTGCTATTTTTAATGGAAAATTTTCGAAAGTAGTTTTTGTAATTCTTTTCAACATCAAACGACAAAAACTATTATTTATTATTTATTTGTCAATTTACTAACTTATTTTTAAAAAAATTAATTATTATGATTAAATAAAAAAAATTACGTTAACTTTTTTACATTCGACGTGGAAATTAAATTAAAATTACAGGCCTCGGATCAATTTTCTTTGATAAAAACTTTTAATTAAAAATTTGATTTTTTTATGAAAATAATTAAATTCTTGGCGAATTTTTCAAAAATTATTAAAAATAATTGATTTGAAAAAGAATTTTAGTTAAAAATTCTAAAAAATGGTTGAATATTTGAAGTTATAGTAGAAATTCTTGGAAAGAATTAAATTTCAAACGATTTTAAATTAAAACTTTTGAAAATTTGAATTTTAAATAATTTTAATTAAAATTTCTAAAGAACTTTTTTACTTTGAAAAATTTGAATTCGAATTGCTTTTGAAATCAGTTAATTTTTGAATATTTTAGTTGAAAAATATTCGAATAATCGAAATTTGACAAAATTAAATTAATAGCGATTAAATTTTAGATTTATTTGAAGTTTTGAAACTTTATTTTTTAATTTTTTAATAAATTGAATTCACAAAAAATTTTCTCAAATTATTCAAAATAATTGAATTAACAAAAATTTTTCTCAAAGTATTCAAAATAATTGAATTCACAAAAAATTTTCTTTAATTATTCAAAATAAAATTGAATTCACAAAAAATTTTCTCAAATTATTCAAAAAATTTTAGTTGAAAATTCAAGAAAATAATTTAATTTCGAAGTAGTTATATAGTATAGTAATTTTGTAAAAGTAATTAACTTTCAAAAGATTTCTAATTAACATTTTTGAAAATTTCATTTGATTTAGATTCAATCATATCTAAGTAATTAAAAAATAAAACTTTTACAAAATTATCATTAAACTTTTGAATAATTTTAGTTTAAAATTCTAGAAAATAATTTATTGAGTTTTTTAAAAATGAGAAAAATAAAATATACCTAATTTTTAAAAATAATTGAATTTTAGAAACTTTGAAATTTACATTTAAAAAAATTTTAATTCCTTTGGAAAAATAAATAACAGTAAGGAATTTAAATATTTATTAAATCAAGTTATTGAAATTTTGAATAATTTAATTTTAGAAATTCTGAAAAAAACTTGGTTTTTGAAAAGATTTAATTAAAAATTTTTGTGAAGTTAATTTAATTCCCGAAACTAATTTAATAAAAAATGTTTTATTATTTCAAGATTTCGTCAAATTTTATTGAAATAAAATTTATATTTTAAAGAATTCTTTATTTTTTCTTCTTGAAGATATGTGTAAAAAAAGTATTTGGAATAATTTGAATATAATTGAATTGTACAAAAAATTAGAATTATTATTATCGGTATGAGGGAAAATATTAATTTTTCTAGAAATCAGGAAAATTCAAAATCAACTTTTGCGATAATTCTGAATAAAATAAACGACTATCTCGACTTTATTTTTTGAATTGATTTTTTTTGTGCCTTAAATTCGATCCGAGGTCTGAAATTGAATTAGATTATCGTAATTAAAAAATTAAAAAATATTACATAATTCTTATAATAATAATAATAAATTTTATGTTCATTTTTCAGGTTCGTTTTAATTTAAATCCGACGATCCACAAAATGGTAAAATGGGATTTTGCATATCGAGCCGCAAGACTTGGTCCATGGGAGGAAATGGCGAGAGATAGAGAACGTTTCAAGGATCGTATTTATTCAATTGGACGGATTCTTGAACCCGTTCTGTCATCTCATGTCAGAACACAAATTTGGAATGAGCGATTTGCACCCAAGGAGGAGTCATTGTAAAGCCTTCATCGTTTTTTCTCTTGTTTTTTAAAGAAGAAATAGTTGATTATTTTTCGTTAACAAAATTATATTAACGTCTTAGTTAGTTCACATTAATTTGACGAAGAGAAGGTAAGTTTTAAGTAATACATAATATATATTATATTTTTTTAATCTTTATTAAGTAGAAAACCAGAAATTTTCATATAAGCGAAAAAAAAGTTATTTTAAAAAACAGCGAATCATCTAATAATGAAAAACGCATTTATGCATTTTATCTGTTTTCGATAATTTAAACATGAAAAACAAAATCTTATAAATATAACGACTTCGATTTTTAGTGTTGTCTGTTTGTAAGAATATATTCGAATAGAATTTATAAATTTTTAAAAAATACTAGATCATAAAAAAAATTTTAAGATTATAGTATTATTCTAATTTTTTTAATTCTACGATTTAAATAATGTTTTTAAATGTAAAAAGTGTAAACTATTTAAAATTATTATTAACTTTTAAATTCTCTTCGCCAAATTATCTATAAAAATAATTTTTAAAAATGAAAATTTCCAGCGATAAACATTTTATTTCCGATAAAAGTCATAATATATAATCATGAATAATTAAATTCTAGCATAGAGAAAATTTTTTATTTAATTAAAATTAATTAAAAAATTCTTTCTGTTATTTATCTGAAAAAATATTTTATTTACAAATTTTAACTGTGATTTTTTCTGGTTTATTGTTATCGCTAAAAAGAATTCTTTTTCGGAAATATTTCTTTATCAAGAATATTTCTTTATACTATAAATATGTATATTAATGTGTTTAAAAGGAAAAAAAAAATAGTTGTGTAAGTTTCTGTATAAAGATACACGGATTTTTAACCACGTGAGAATTCCGCATGGGAAAAAATTGAAGTCACAGATTTAAAAAAACATAGAAAATTATAAAAAATTGAAATCTATTGATTTTGGAACTTTGGAAAATCGGTGATTTCTTTTTATTTATTTTCCAAAAAGGGAAAAAGGCGGTATTTACACGTGTGTGGGAGAAGAAGTGTTTAATATGTACATGTATTTTTATGGAAAAAAATTTACATCGACAGTTGAGAGAATTTTTGCAGATTTATTTGATGCATTTCAGTCAGATGCATTGTTTTATATTAGAAAAAAAATGTTTTGTATTTTGCATCTGTTTTTTCTCTTATTTTTCTGTTTAAAAAAAAAATATCAATATTGCTCGTGAGAAGCAGGCCTCTCCAGTTATTTTTCCATCTGCATTAATTCTTCCTGTCGCTGCTACTTGTATTTATGTAAAACTAATAAAAAATAGTTTGGATTCAAATTTTACACTCAAATTATTTCACTTTCTTTTCTCGAGTCGATTTTTTACTAGAATCGTCTATTTTTTAGTAAAAAAAAAGGTACTGTTATTTTTTATCATTTTTCCCAAATAACTTAATTTATTATTTATTACTCAAAAACGATTTAAGAAAATCGATAAAAAAACTAAACTTTCTAATTTGTTGAAGAAAATATTTTTTTAATATTAATAAATCGTTTTCACTTCGTTAATAGTCACGCCAATGAGTTTTACTAACAAGTAATTCTAGAGAATTAACATCAACCATTTACCGCAGGAAAAAGTTCTCTTGACGACGTTCTCATAACTTCACAATGGAATAATCATAGAAGCATAATCATGTCAAGGGTAGTTATGTGATCGAGGTGAAGATTTCAGATTTTATTTTTGTGCGTCTTGTAGAAAAAGTTGAGAAAGACATAAAACGCAAAATTGGTGTAAAAACGTGCTGTTTTTTTGTGAGTTAAGGCTGTTTTATTTGTTTTTTTCAGCTAAACAGAGAAGAGAATTGTTAAAAGTTGTGTGACCGTTCAATTGTATTTTTTTTTACAGAGAAAGAAACGATTTATAGTTGGACAATTATCTCAGTTTTGAATAGGGCGCCTACCCCGACTAATTACTGATCTCACCGGTGATTATTTATGAAGAAATTCTAATGAACTTTTGAAACCCGTTAAAGTTGACGGAAAACAATGAAATTACACTTTTTAAAGTACAATTGTCTATTTATGAATTTATATTCATTTTTTAAATGTTTATTTTTCCATTAACGGTACTATTTTATTAATTAGTAATAAATATTTACTAATAAATATCTATTAGTAGATATTTAATTACTAGTAAATATTTATTACTGATAAAATATTAAAATTAAAAATATATTAATATATTAAATATTAAAAATTTTTAAAATCCTAATTAAATTCTTTTGAAGAATTTTTTTTGATTTTTTTTTTAAAATAATGGAGTTTTTTTTAATAATTTTAATTGAAAATTTTGAAAGCAATTGAATTTTATTAAAATTGTTTTGAAAATAATTGAATTCCTGAGAAGAATTTTATTATTTATAAAAATAATATTTAATTCTTGCGAAGAATTTTACTATTTATAAAAATAATTGATTTGTTCTGAAGAATTTATTAAAATTTTGGGAAAACCATTTATAAAAATAATTGAATTGTTTTCAAGAATTTATTAGAAGTTTAGAAAATAATTTAATTCTTTCGAAAAATTTTATTGAAAGTTGGAAAAAATTTAATTGAATCCTTTCGTAAAATTTTATTAAAATTGTATTGAAAATAATTGAATTCTTTCAATTTTTTTGACGAATATATTTAAAAATTGCATTAAAAGTAATTTAATTTTCATACAGAATTTTTAAGAATATTTCGCGAATAATTGATTTATTTTTAGAGAATTTTAAATTCTTGTTAAAAGTGAATTTTATGTAAAATTTTTGAATGTAATTGAATTATTTCGTGTTATTTTATTTAAATTGGATTAAAAATAATTTAATTATTCCTGCAAAGAATTTTTTTATTTTACTATATTTATAAAAATAATTTAATTGTTTCGAATGATTTATTAAAATTATGGAAAAAAATATTGAATTCTTTTGAAAAATTTTATTTAGGATTTATTAAAATTTATTATATTATTTATTAAAATTTTAGAAAATAATTGAATTCTTCTGTGAAATTTTATTAAAATTTTGTTAATAATTGAATTTATGCGAAGAATGATATTAAAATTTTTGAAAATATAGACAATAATAATTAATGTTGTACTTAATAAGTGAATTCTAAAAATTTTGATTATGAATTATTAATAATTTAATTTAATTATTTAATAAATTTATTAATAATCAAATAATTATATGAATATGGAAAAAATTTACCGTCTGGTTTAAAAAAAAGGCTTTTAATTTTTTTTCCTAGAAAAAAAGGGAGTATTATGTGTATTAGAAAAAAAGCAAACAGGAAAAGGATGGGCACGGGTCTAATCGAGTCAGTCAAAAGGTAAAGAAGTGTTGTAATAGTGGTAATGGAAAAATGAAAAATACGTGGATACTTCATGGGCCAGTGATTGTATGACTATTAACTGTTACTATATGAATACCAACTTCTTCATAAAAAAAAAAAAAAAAATTAACAAAAGCAATTCAATGACGCATCGTCTCACTGATCATGATGTTTTACTCTATATGCATATAAATTCTACATAATATATTTCTATACACTTATTTTGCATTACACACTCAAGGAATTTTAATTATTCAAACATTTTCTTCGCATCAATTCATAATCGAGAAATATTTAAACATCAATTTTCTACTTTATTTTCCAAGATTCATAAAGTTAGAGAAAATTGAGAAATACAATTATTTTTTGCCATTTTTTTTCATTGTTAAAATTATATTTGCTTTGTTATGTTTTTTGGAAAAATTTTTCTCCTTATTTTTCTTTAATTGATAAATTTAGGTCCAAAAGTATTAGAATTTTAATTTATGAAAGAAAAAAGAAGTTTTTTTTTATTGACATTGCATGCTTCGTTCTGCTTTCACCTTTTCACGATTGACTTATTGTAATTAGAATGGCCAGTAGTTGAAAAAGATTTTTATTTAAAATTGAAAAACAAGACTAAATTTACTTTTATAATTCTACTATCGTTCAAGGCGATTTTATTTTTCGAGGTTTGCCCTACAAAGCGCAAACTTCAAAAAACACCGTTATGGGACGAATTTATCTTGATACCGAATGTGACCTGTGACTTGAAAAAAAATATTTATTTCACGATCGTCTGATTTTTTAAAAAAGACTAAGAAAATCCACAATTTTCCAAAAATTTTATATTTTCAAATAAAACAAATTTTAATTTTTTTCCAAATTGCATTTAGTATTTCTTTTGAAGTATTAATTTATTTAAAAAATAATAACAAAAAGTGACAAAAAGTTATCTTAATTTATATTTTTTCCTACATTGCTTCTTTTATTTTAAGTTCAAAGGAAGTAAGAATTTTTTTTTAAATTAATAAAAAACAATAATTTCGAATTCTATTTTTTCCTATTTTAAATTCAAAGGATTGTAAGAATTTTTCTTTTTGAAAATTAATAATAAATTATTTTGAATCGTATTTTTTCTTATTTTGCTTTTTTCTATTCTTAAGTTCAAAGGAAATTGTTAGAACTTTGCACTAGGTAAATATTTGGCTTCTTTAATATTCTGCATTTGATTGTAAAGTGTGACTCATTCTAACGTGAACGAAATAATTAAAAAAAACTTTTTTCTCTCTCTCTCTTATTTCACAGATTCGATTATTTTTACTTGTTGAAAAAAATATTATATAAGCTGGAGAAGACCTTGTGCAGCTTCCAAGAAAATTTCTTTTGCTTTGAAATAAGAGAGGATCCATAAAACAACTTTCGCCTTTCTTTCATTTTAGCGAAAAAAAAATCATTTTTATCACAAAAGAATGATTCAGTGCCTGAATAGAAATTCAATTTCTTCATTTTGATTCCTTTCTTTCTATGCAACATATTTGAATCAATTTGAATTCAATGTTGAATACTAATCGTCAATATTGAGAAAAAAAGTGGAAGATTTTGACTTTCTAAAATCGTGATTCAAAAAAAAAATAATTGTATTTTGAGACTCGTTTTTTTCCCTATATATTCAAATTAATGTCCTTGTAATTATTTTATCCTTTTTCGAAATTAAATTTCAAGGATTAAAAATATTTTTGGATTGCAAAGAAAGGGAAAAAGCCTGCTTTTAAATTCGGAATTGCGTAAATTTTTTTCTTTCCCATAATTAAAATTAAGGTAAAATTTTTATTTACATGAATCGGTGAATGGGATTCCCAGTAGGAAATTCCTTTCTGAGAATTATGATATTATTTTTTCATTTATCATTTTGCAAGACAGATTTAAAGGAATATTTAAGAAAAAAAAATTTAGAGAAATTATCGTCAATTAAAATTTATTGCCAGATTATTCTTTGAAATTATGAATTAGAAAAAATTTTGTAAAATATTACTGGTTAACAATAGATTATTTTCCTCTATTTATAGAGTTATAAAAAATGTAAAGATTCTTTAATTTAAATTTGTCATTGATGGAGAAATAAATGAAAAATTAAAGAAACAAAAACAATTAATTATTAATGGAGTAAATAACATTGGGTCAATTGCTTGACCTCGAGTGACTCCTTCGTGCTCCAAAGGACTTGATATGAGAACAAACTGATGTTTCTTTAGAGATTGGAGTTTCGAGAGGTGAGACACGTGAGTGCCGGTGGGGAGACCCTGGGGGACACCGCCCGGTACTTAGCTATAAAATCCCGACTGGAGGGTCGAACCCAACCAGTCATAATCGGTGAATCGGAAGTACGTTCCTCTTTTTTTGTTCCACACACAGTTTTTTAGATTCGACAACAAGTTTTTCCCAAGTTTTAGGAAATTCACTCCAAAAAAAAAACAATCATGAAACTTGTTTTCATTTTCGCTGTTTTATTCGTCGCCGCTGTCTTTGCCGCTGATGAAAAACAAGAAGAGGGACGTCCTCGAGTTTATAAGCGAGTAATTCCCGCTGATGTTCTTCGTGGTGAGTGTCAAACTCTAGAAAAAAAATAAAATTTGTGAAAATAAATTAAAAAGTAAATTTTCTAAAAATTGAGCTAAATTTGAAATTTTTAAATAAAAATGATGATAAAATTAAAAAAAAATATTAATTAAAATAATAAAAATAATATTAATAATAATGAAACAATAAAGAACAATAATAAAAATGAAGAAAATAATAGAACTATTAATAATAATAAATTAGGAACTAAAATTGAAAAAATGTTCTGAATTAAAAAACTAAAAATTTGAATTTAATTTTCAATTTATTCTCATTTTAAAGATAAGTATTTAATAGAAAATTCAATATCTACTAATTAATTCACATGTTATGAAATTAAAAAAAATGGTAAAATTAATAAATAATCTCCGTTACCTGAATTATCGAAGTTCAATGTATATTGGTTGTATCTTTAAGTGAAAGCGGTACAACGACTTTATTTACATTTTTAGTCCATGCACACTTGACTTGAAGACACGTTTCGAATTTCAAGTTCGTCGAACAAAGAAGAAAAAAAAGTTCTTGACAGAAATAATGCCAAATTTTAAAATTTGTTATTCAGCTCCAAAAATCTGGAAAAAAGAAATAGAATTATCAGAAAACAATTAATTTCTATTTAAATAAATTTCGAAAATAAATTTTACAGAATTATAAAAAAAATATATTTTCGAATACTTTTGTAGAAAACAATTTCATTTCATATCAAATTTTATCACCGTTTGTTTGTGAATTATATGTAGAAACTAAAATTCGTTACTTATTTTCTTATTTTTTGTTCTTGGAAATTAGTTATTAAAATTGTTTCCTAATTTTGAAAACAAATTATTGAAATTAAAGTTAACAAACTTTAATTACTCACTCTACGAAAATTAACTATTAAAATTTGATAACAAACAAATGATTAAAATTGAAAATTTACTTAAATGCAAGAATTTATTTCAATTCAGTAATTTTTAAAATTATTATTTATTTAAATAATAATTTCTTTAAATATTCATTTCTTTAAATATTCATTTCTTTAAATAATCATTTCTTTAAATAATTATTTTGTTAAATAATAATTTTTTCAAATAATAGAAATAACCGTTTTAAATAAAATTCTGCTATTGTTTCCTCAGCGGCATGTCACACTAGGCATTCAAATCTCCGGAAAAGGAAGTGCATTCTCCCCTAAAAGTAAAAAAAAATTGTCATTTACAGGAATATTAGCATACCATGAATATTTATAATTTAATTTTTATTTAATTATGAATATTTATTTTTACAAATTAAAAATTAAAAACAAAAGAAAATTCTTTACTAAAAAAATATTTAAAACTATTTTTTTATCTGAAATTTTAATTATTAGTTATTTTTGAAATTAAAAACATTAAAAAATATAAAAAGTAGAAAGAAAAAAAATTGGTACAACGCTTTAGTGTGAAAATTTTACAGAATTTTATCTAATTTTTTGTCTACATTGTAAATTTTCTATTTTAAATTTAAAAAATATTTAAATTTATTTTATTCACCAGAAATGAATTTAATTATAGAGTTGACTTTTTTAAAATTAAAATCAATAAAAAGTGGATAAGAAAAAAAATTTCATAATGCCGGAGGTGTGAAAATTCACAGGATATTTTATCTAATTAAACAATATAATTAATTTATTATTTGTTTTTCTGTTTGGAAAGTAAATTGATCTTTTCGAGGTTCATAGATTTTCAAGACACGCCCCTTTTACAAAAAAAAAGGAAAGTCAAGTTACCTTGGTGACTAGGCCAGATTTTTTTTCACACCATTTAGCATTGATAAATATACTTCAAAATGAAATAAACGTATTTATGATTTTTATTGTTTTTTTTCCTCTGTGTAAAAAACGATAATGCACGACAAGCATATCCTTATTTCGAAAAGGAATATTTATTTCCTCTCTGAGATAATAAGTAGTTTTTTCCTTCAAGGGATTTTTTTACAAATATAAGTTATAAAAAATTAAGAAAATAGTATAAAATTAAAAAAATTAAAGAGAGGGGAAAAATTATGCAAAAAAAATAAACAATGACTCATTTTAATGATTTAGATTAGTCGACAGGAAATAATAGAATACGAAAGTGGAATTACAAAACAATTGAAACAGAATGTAAATATGTAAATTTTAATTCGTTAATAACAAATGTTAGAAGACTTAAATAAATAAAACAAAGAAGCAAAAATAAATTCAAGTTGTTTGATGCTGGGAGTTAAAAAGTGTTTTTGTAAAAAAATGTTCTAAAGATTTGTTCTGAATTTTGCAAAAATCGATTTTTTCCAGATACGATAAATACGTTTACAATAAATTCTAGATTATTCTCATTTTTATTCTTTATGAATATTTATCTCATTACCTTAAAGATGCCAAATGACCTCGTAATAATGCAATTATAACGAAGGTTCTATTATCGATTAAACTAATTTTCCTCAAGATCCGAAGGATTCTAAATAATAGTCTCATATTTCTCTATATGAACACGTCAGTATAATATTTAAAATCAGACCAATTATGCAAATTGATTTCTCTGTATTCACACCACTTTTTATTCAATGAATCGTATCCTCTTAATTATTTGCTTTTATTCTTTTGAAAATTCCTATGAATTTATACTCGTTTCTTTCTATCCTTTTTTTTTTTTGTTTTGTTTTTTTCGTTGTTAATTTTGCAAATAATATTGTGCATTACATACGTATAATGACCATGAGATATTATAATGTCATTATATTTAAATATATAATCACTTTGTTCCGACAATCAAACAAGTTTCATTCTTGTGTGGGGTGCAAACATTTCACAATAGGGATCACTTGCATTGGTCAGAGAAAGTGTCTCGCCTTGAAGTTTCTATTATTACATTGTTCGGAATAAATTTGCACTTTTGGAATTAGAATCATCTATTTTTAATATTTCTCAATCAAAAGCACTTTCTCTCAGTTTTTTCATCAAATTTAAATTTCTTTTCAAACTTCTTCTTGTTTCATTTTATTCTACCTAAAAAAAAAGGAGCATTTAGAATAAATTTCTGCTTCTGCAATTAAAATCGCTTTGGATTTTGATCAAAAATTTCGTTTTTAACTTATAAACAATTTTTTTTTAAATGAAATTAATAATTATGAATCAATGTAAATTATAATTATAAATACCTTTCTTTGTGTAGATTTCCCTGAAATGTGTTTTGCATCGACGAAATGTGCAACAATTGAACCAACAAAATCATGGGATCTCTCTCCATTCTGCGGACGTTCCACTTGCATCACTGCTGAAGATAACTTAGGACGTTTATTCGAATTGGTAGAAGATTGTGGACCATTGCCAAAACCAAATCCCAAATGCAAGATCTCTGAGAAAACAAATAAGACCGCAAGTTTTCCAGATTGCTGTCCAATTTTCGATTGCGAACCAGGTGCGAAACTTGAATATCCAGAAATTCGATCCATTCCACCTCCATCCGAAGAACAAGACGGTAATCCAGCACCAGCACCAGCACAAGCACCAAAGGCATAAGATATACACTTAAAGAAAAAGAGAAAACAAAAAAATTTCTTCGCTTCTTCTTCATCACTGTGATTCTTATTAAAAAAAAATTCGATTCAATCCAAAGACATTCCAGTAAATTTGCAATTAATTTTTTTGCAAATCCATTTCATCAGCAGACGATATCATTTTTTTTTGTCTCGTTAGCCTGAAAAATAAGACAAACGGAATTAGAAAACAAAGGATACTTTTTTACATATCGATTCTAGGAAGAAAATTATTGAAAATAAAAAAAAACAAATGTACATATTTTGCTCTTCCGCAATAATACAAAGCTCCCAATTTTATTTACGGAACCAGAAAAAAAAGTAAATTCTACAAAATCGAGCCCTAGTCGCGGATAAGAAGCAAAACAAAAATTTCTATCCCCTTTTAAATAAATTCATATTTTTTCATCTCGATTTTGCCTTCTTTAACAATAGACAAAAATTTAAAGTTCGCAAAACCGCTACAATAAAACAATAAAAATAAAAATGTGATTCTAATTGTATATGTGATTAAATTAAAATAATTTTAAGAAAATATTTCTCTGTGGATAATTTTTATTTTCACCAGTTTCCTATTTTTTATTTTATTGAAAAAGTGATAAGAAACAAAAATAGGACTTGTTTTTTTATATTTCATATATATGAATCAGTTTCCTCTTGCGTATTGCATCTCTATCATAAAATATATCACGGAAACATGTAATTAGAAACATTTGAATAGACAATTAAATATGCTGGAAACTTTTAAATAGGGTCGAGGAGAATAAAAAGTATTATGAACAATAAAGTATAGATGTGACGGTGAGAATTGACCTGTGTTCGTATTGTTAATGTCCAGTCGAAAAATTCAAATTCTCCCATCAAATTTATTCCTGTGTATTCATAAAAAAAAGGGAAGTATTTCTGCATACCGGAAGTTTTTTTCAACAATAGAATGATGAGTTCAATGAATTTTCTCTATACTTCAACTCGAAACTAAGAACCTGAAACTGAATAAATTTATTTAAATACAAATTCAATATAAAAGGTATGTAATAAAAAAATTCTAAATAGGTAAAAAATAATTAATAAAAAATAATAAATTAAAAATAAAGAATAAAAAAATAGATTAAATTAGATAAATCCTTTATTAAAAAAAAAATAAATAAAAATAGGAAATAATAATAAAAATAAAATAAATAATCCAAATAATCCAAATGAAATAAAAAAGAATGAAAATAATAATTCAAATTATTTTGTTTTATTTAAATATTATTATTCCAAATAATTAATTTCTAATAAATTATTCACTAATTAATTTACTAATAATAATAATAATAATAATAATAATAATAATAATAATAATAAAAATTGATTCCTTTATATATGTTTCTGCTTTTTTAAATTGGAATATTAGCGATTGCAAGAGAGAATATAAATAATTTTGCGATTATAATTAGCAATTCAAAGTATCATAGTAATCTAGAACATTTTAAATTATAGTAGGTGGTGTTTCAAGATCATAAGTTTCTTCCATTGCTTTTAAAGGAGATGAAAGATTGCGAAATTATAATTATTACAGAAATAATTTATCAAAACTTCATTCGATTTCTGTCATTACTGAAAATTAAATATAAATTATTATTTGACAATAATTCTCGATATTAATTATATTTAATGCTTAATTTAGTTAACTAAATTTTAGAAAATAAAAATAATTTCAATATAAATAACATTTATTAAATTATCAAATAATATCAATAATATTAATGCATTAATTAAAATACAAATTTCTTTAATATAAAAACATTTATAAAATTATTACCAACGAAAAGATATCGAAAGCCCGTTGGTCTGAATAAATATAAATATTTATGATTAATTAAATAATATTAATAATAAAGAAATATTAATAATATTAATTATTAAATAATAGATTGATTTATCCGTCTACATTAAATAAAATAAAAAAATAAAATCGAAATTTATAACATTAGATATAAAAATATTTTTACCAAAAAGTTAGGCTATGTTCGTTTGTTTTTATTAAAAAACGATTGTTAAACGGAGAATTCATTTACACTTTTTCAAAATTATTGGAAATATAAAAAGAAACAACTGACAATTATTAATTTATACCGTACAATAAATAAAGTGTCTAAAAAACCCTGGATTTTTGCTTTTTATTTCAATTTCAACGATTTCAACATTTGTTTATTTACTTTTTGACATTTTTAGCAACAGTTTTTAATTTTCATTAGGTTGTCAACACTGTCAATCAAAACAACTTCATCCTCCTTTCAAATGCTTCAAATTTTTATCTTATTTTCATTTTTATACATTTTCTTCTCTTCTATTCACCTACTTGATCCTTTTCTAAAAGTTGTTTTACTAATAAGTAAATATTTTCTACATATTTAATTAACAAACTATTATAATTAGGAAAATTATATTTGTAAACAACTTGATTCTGGGTTGTGGTAGACCTGGTTATTTTGAATGTGTGCAAATCGTAAATATTTTTTAATTTAAAATAATAAGAGCGAATTTAGGTAACGTTTTCGTGTTATATATTATTAGTAACATAAAAATAATTATTTTTATGTTACTTATTTTCTCTAATACGTAGAAATTAACTAATAAAAATAATTAACCGGGAAGAATAGTGCGAGAGTCTACTATTGGCAGCACTGTACAGTTTCATTTCAGTGCATCATGGCGGACCCGTTGAGTTTGTTGCGACAATACAATGTCAACAAAAAAGAAATTATTGAACGTGAAAATCAAATTATTTTCGGAGAATTCTCCTGGCCGAAAAATGTGAAAACAAATTACTTGACCTACGGGTAAGTCAGCTTTTATCTATTGCTATTATTCCATAAATTTCGCCTTCAATCTGGACGTTCACGTCAACCTTCAAACTAGATTTTCACATTTGTTTTTCATGTACAATTATTAAATTGAGAATATATTCTTATTATTTAACATTTTTCAGCAATTTTTATACTAATACTAAGTTTTTATACTAAGTTTGGACATTATTTCTTAATTTGAACATTTATTTGACATGGAAACAGACCAATATTTCTGTAGGTGCATGACAGGCGGGTTGAATTTTATTTCTAAAATAATTATTATTTGTAATTATTTGTTCTTATTTGGTGATGGTATTAATTGCATGCTTATGAAGATTTTCGATATGAAATTCATGAGGAAATAACTGAAAAATTATGAATGGTGAATTAATTTCTGCGTTTGGACAGCAAACATAACCTTAAAATTTTTTGTTTTTACAAATAATGCAATATGACGATTTTTTACTTTTCTGATTGAAAGTATTTATTTTATTGAGTATATTCTTGTAGGTCGGGTAAAGATGGAACACCGAAGGATTATTACACACTAGAGTGCCTTTTATTCTTGCTGAAACATGTCCAACTTTCTCATCCGGTTTATGTACGTCAGGCAGCCGCTGAAAACATTCCCGTTGTACGTCGTCCCGACAGAAAGGATCTCCTCGCCTATCTCAATGGCGAGACGGCAACATCAGTGGCAATCGATAAATCAGCACCACTTGAAATACCCACACAAGTTAAAAGAACTGCCGAGGATGGCCTTGAGAGTGGCTCATCGAAAAAGCCACGTTTTGAAGAGACACACGTGCAAAAAGTTAAGGAACAACTTGCAGCCCGTTTGGACGCACCAAAGGAAGCCTCCGTAACTGTTGACAATATTAAATCACTATCAGAGGCAATGTCAGTCGAGAAAATTGCCGCCATCAAAGCAAAACGTTTAGCAAAAAAACGAACGACAATTAAAGAAAATGACGATATAGGTATGGGATCAGATCTAAAAGTTATTTTAGATATGGACGTTGACGATACAAAGGATATAGTTTCTCGTGAACGACAATGGCGTACAAGGGCAACAATATTACAGAGTAGTGGTAAGGTTTTTGCAAAAAATATTCTCGCAATTTTACAGGGTATTAAGGCGCGTGAGGAGGGCAGGCAAAAGGGACCCGTTGCACCAACGCCAATGATAACACCGCGTTCAACTCCAATGAGACCATTACCACAACCAACGCAATATAATCGTTACGATCAGGAAAGATTTATTCGTCAAAAAGAGGAGACGGAGGGTTTTAAAATTGATACTATGGGTACTTATCATGGTATGACCTTAAAGTCTGTGACTGAAGGTACAAATCCATCGATTAGAAAACCACCAACTGTACCAAGTGCAACGCCAACATCGGGTTTACTGCCAACATCAGCTGCCAAATTAACGCCACAACAGGCAGCGCAAAATAAACGACCAAGCCGAACGCCTATTATTATTATTCCAAGTGCCACAACATCTTTAATTACCATGTATAATTCAAAAGATATTCTACAGGATTTGAAATTCATCACAAACGAAGAAAAGAGAACGCAAGGTTGTAAGCGTGAAACTGAAATTCTTTTGCAACGCCGAAAAGAAGGTGGTTTAACGGTTCCCTATCGGGTTGTTGATAATCCACAGAAATTAAATAATGCCGATTGGGAGCGAGTTGTGGCCGTTTTTGTCAATGGACCCGCTTGGCAGTTTAAAGGATGGCCTTTCGATGGCAATCCTGTTGAAATTTTCTCAAAAAGTGAGTATAACGAACACAGGCTTTTTTCGACTTTTTATCGACTATTTTCAAATAATACGACTTTTATCGACTTATATTAAAAAATTGCAACTTTTTCAACTTTTTATGAATTTAAATTTGCAAAACTCTGAAAATAATGTAATTCTCAAAAAGTTTAATTAAAAATCTCACAAGTGTATCTAAATTTAATAAAAATGAAAATTAGTTTCTTAAAAATATATTAAAATATTTTTAAAAAAAAGTAATTCTCAAAATTTTTTCATTCTAATTTTTAAAATTCAATTTTTTTTATTTTTTTTAAATTATACAAAACTTCTTTTTATAAATTCAAATATTTTCGAAAAATTACATTAAAATATTTATTAAAAATACTAATTCTAAGAATTATTTTATTATAATTTTTTAAGATTCAATTTAGCTTCGAACAAAGTAAATTAAAATTTTTTTAAATTTACTTTTTTAGACTTTATAAAATTTCAAAGAAATCATTTATAATTAAAATTCTTTAAAAATTTGATTTTTTATAGGTATTTTTTAAAATCTCAATTATTTTTAAAAGATTTTATCAAATTTCAATTATTTTTCAAACATTTTACCAAATTTTAATTATTTTTCAAAGATTTTACTAAATTTAAATTATTTTTCAAAGATTTTACAAAATTTCAATTATTTTTCAAAGATTTTATCAAATTTTAATTTTCTGGACATTTTTTAATTGTATATTTAATTGTAAAGCTATTGACTTTCAAAAATTATTAAAAATTAATATAAATAATTGATTTCGAAATGAAGTTTAGTTAAAAATTGTAGAAAATAATTAAAATTTTTAATAAAATTAAAATAATTAAAGTTTGGAAGGGTTATAGTTGTAATTTTAATTTTTTAAATTAATGAAAAAACCTTAGAATTAGAAAATTCAAGGTTTTAAAGATTAAATACCAATAAAAAGTAATTTAACACAATTGTTTTGAATTCAACAACTTGAAAACAAAATTTGTAAATTAAAAATATTATTTTTTGAGTAAATATTACTTTTTTCTTCTAATCGTTGATTATTAACGTTGGAAATTTCAGCAACGTATTTAATTTGTAAATTAAATTTAATATTTTTTTAATTCTTTTTGAAAAATTTTATTTAAATTTCTAAAAATAATGGAATTCAAGAAATTATTCGAAAAAATCATTAAAAATTTTATTAAAAACGATTGTTTCTTTGAAGAAAATTAATTAAAATTGTATTAAAAATAATTCCTCCGATGAATTTTATTATTTCTAAAAATAATTGAATGGTTTCGAAGAATTTTATAATTTCTAAAATAATTTAATTGTTTTGAAGAGATATAAATTCTTAAAAATACATGAACTCTTTAGATAAATTTTATTGAAAATTATTAAATTCCTGCGAAGAATTTTATTATATCTTAAAATAATTTCATTTTTGCTAAGAATTGTATCAAAATTTTTGAAAATAATTGAATTTTTACGAAGAATTTGATTATTTATTAAAATAATTTCGTTTTTTTCGAGAATTTTATTAAAATTGCATTGAAAATAATTAAATTCTTTTTGAAGAATTTTATTTATATTTTTAAAAATAATTGAATTCTTTTGAGAAATTTTGTTAAAATTTTATTGTAAATTAATTGACTTCCTGCACAAAATTTTTATTATTTCTGAAAATAATTGAATTCCTTCCTAGAATTTTGTTAAAATTTTTAAAAATAATTCAATTCTTTCGAGAAATTTAATTAAAATTTAATTGAAAATAATTCTATTCTTGAGAAGAATTTTATTAAAAATTTTGTAAATTTAATTGTTTTAAAGGATTTTTTATTAAGTTTATTAAAAATAATTCAATTCCTGCAAAAATCTAATTGCTTGATAAATATAATTTCTGAACTGTAATATAAAACGTTTTTTTTTTTTTATATTTTTTTTGATAAGATATTTATTTTTGTATCAACTAACAGTATTTCTGTATTATTTATAATTGTTAAATTCCTAATTCGATTCTTTAGCTTTTCATTATTTTGTACAAATTGCAATTATTATGATTTAAATTAAATTAATATATTAAATTCATATTTTTTTCCTTGTGATTTGCCTTTTCTTAGATGAAAATTGTTTCTTTTTTTTGCAGTCTGTGCATTTCATATAAAATATGACGAAATGAAATTGGACGCAAATGTAGGGAGATGGGCAGTAACGGTCATTGAATTGAGTCGAACAAAACGGCATTTAGACAGGGCAGCTCTCATGGTTTTCTGGGAACACTTGGACAAGTAAATAAAATTTTCCGTTTTAAAATTAGAAGTAAACGTTATTAAAACGAAAAATTATAATTAATTAGGGATATTATAGTAACATTTAAAATATTCAATAATAATAATTTATTCCTTTTCAGACACATGATAAAGAACAAACCACATCTTCGATTCTAAATATCGTCTTTCCATCGAGATAATCGAGAATTTCCAGAGGAAGCCATGTAATAATCCAGCCTCTCACATAGAGCACGAGTCGTGTCAATTCTTTGAAACGTGTGCAAAATAAATTTTATTCACAGAGAATTCGGGAGTAAAATTTCTGTTTCTGCTTTAAAATGGAGAAAGAAAAAAGTGTGTCAGTCGGATGAAAAATTGGGCAGTTAATTTGAATCTCAGTGCTCTTTCCAATCAAGTTCTCTGCCAGGAATGTATTCACATCTTGTTTGTAAAATATCTATTAATCGTAAGAGAAAAAGATTTTAAGTATCCTAAAAATTAAACTGTTATTGGTAATAATCAAAAAAATCTGTTTATTAATTCAATTTTCATTATCCTTTTTTTTATTTCTAAATTCTAAATTACAATTTTCAGTTTTTTAAATTCTAAATTATAAATTTGAAAATATTTTTGTTTTATTTTCAGAACATAGGAAAATTTTGAAACTAATTAAATTTACCTCGAAAATATTTTTCTAATTTGTTTTATTTTCAGGTCAATATGAAAAAAAATGCTTTTCATTTATTTTGATATTTTTCTTTTTTTTTTTTTGGTTTTGAGAAAATTGAAAAGAATGGAAATTTGAAAATCAAAGATTCAGAAGATAAATATTATATACGTGTAAAACAAAAGAAAAAAAGAGAAAGAAAGTTGGAAGAGAAAAATCTTTGAATGGTGTTAAGTTTCATGTGTGTTTAGAAATTCAAGACACTACACGGCGACGATAGTCATAGAATGCGCAATCGTCCCGTGGGACTTCCGTTTAGTATTTTCTTTAGCGAAAAGTAAATCAAAAGTAAACTGCCCTTCGGTTTTTTCTTGCCTCAAGGCATTGCCGAGGAATTATTTGCACGACGAATCGGATCTTCTTGATTCGATTAACTTCCTCTCTATTTCACGAGTGATGAAAATATATATGTTTTTGCTTTCACAAAACGATATTACGAAAAGTGTAACACCATCAATTTTATCTTTATATTAATTATTATATTTTCTCTATTAGATAAAAAAAATCTTCCATTATTTCTTTCTTATTTCAACACGAAAATAAATGAAAAGACAGTTTCCATTTAAATATAATTCAGTTTTATTTAAAACATTCAAATTTATTTGAATTAAAATTAAAATTAAAATTAGAAAAAAGTTTCTAAATTATTTTTCCTTTTAAAAGAAATATTAAAAAAAGGAGTAATAGTTGAAGAACTTCTAAGACTCTAGTAGAAAATATTTCAAAGAAATTTTTTGTTAATTCAATTGTTTGTGAAAAGTATTTTTTTTGCAAATAATGAAAGTGTAATTAATTTTCGAATTTAAATTGTAAACGAAAAAAGTTATAAGTGATCAGAAGGCAATTTTTTTTTTTCGTATAAAGTTCATATTTTATACAAGAAAAAAGTAGGGGAATTTTTAATAATTTCGCAGAGACTTGCGTTAAATTAATATGTTTGTAATTCCAGTTATAAATAACGCATTGTATTCTAGGAAGATATCAAATTATTACATATACAATTAAATACATGTAATGTATTAAACGCTCGATACTTTAGTTGTAAATTAATGATAATTATGTATAAATATTCTCATCATAGTGGTTAATAAATTCGAATATTTCACTATCCTAATGCTCTTTCAATACAGTAGATATCATTTTACAATAATTAGGGTTGCCACAGGTCAGGGAAATCAGGGAAAAGTCAAGGATTATTATTAAAGTACTGGAAAAAATTAAATTAATATTTGGATTCATAATTCATTTTTAGAGTCAGTAGTGAATCAGAACGTTCATTAGGGTCAGGGAAAAAGTTAAAATTTTGTCTGGGAATTAGGGAAAAACAAAATTAATTTTTTCCCCGCAACCCTGATATAATAGAATAAATTAATTAATTTTTGATTTAGAAAATTCGTTTTTTCGAAATTCATTTAAATTTCTGAGAATTATTTGCAATTAATTTTAATTTCTGATATTAATTTTTATTGATTTCTTTAACTAAATGTTGAAATAATTTTAATAATATTATTTTTCTTCAATTCTAAAAAGGTGAGTTTAATTTCATCATTTCTTTTATTAAATATACTTAAAGTTTACTGACATTTAATTTTCTTTTTCAGAAAGAATTTGTCAAAGGCGCAGATGAATTGAGACATTTTACGCAAATTTGTAGCAGAGCAAGCAATTGGGTTGAACGCAAGGAATATTTGGAATGAAAGGTGGAAGATGGAGAATACTTGGCCTTTGAGAAAATTCAGCGAATTGATGATTATATTGCAGTCCCGAGTCAAAGTAATGATTATACTGTAAATTAAGAGCAATACTCTCGCGATCAATTCGCGAGTTTCCTGATTTTCCAAAAGGGAAATTGTTTCCACAGAAGTTGGTGCTTTCAAAATTCTTCGATACCGGCTCGGATATTACGTTCAAGAGACAATAACTTTCGCCCAAATGATTCGTTGGATGCAGTGATGGCAGAGTAAAAGTCTGTAAAGAAAATATTGTAAGTAAATTTTTTTTATTTTTTCTATTATTGAATAATGAAATATATTTCAGTTTTTTTTATATTATTAATTTACAATGTCACCTTGGGTGGAGTTTTCATATCGGGATTGGAAATCTCCGGAAGACGATCGACTTTCGGCGGATGAAAAGCTGAAACACTGGGACAATGAGAATCAATAGTTGCAGATTTCTCGTTACAAGAAAAATACTCAATTGCCTTGAGGAGATCCTGTCCACATCTTTGCAATACCAATTGAAGTACAGAAAGTTTTGTATTTGGAAATAGTCGAATAAGAGTTTCCATGGATGTTTGAGACACGGCGCAATCCGTTTTCTTAACTAATTTCTCCTTCGTTTTTAGAAAGAGACCATCAGTCTTGGTTTCTTCATTCTTCTCCTGCTCGGAGGTAAAAAGAAAATTTATTTTTAAATTTCAAATTATTTATCTATTAATTAATTAATTAGTAACAAAATTTTTCAAACTGAATTTCTTTACAATATCTACTACTATTTAGGTATCGAAATAAACTATAAATAAATATTAATATTTATCTAAATAAAATATAGATATTTATTTGGAGTTTTATTTCTAAATTTGAATTTAATTTAACTTTACTTGATTTTTCAATTCAAAACTATTGTTATCTTCAGTTTCGATAGAATTTGCATTGTCCTCGGGCGTATTTTTATCATTTGATGAACATTTCGCTTCGGAATTTCCCTCTTTATTTTTTTTATTCGTATCAGGATCTGTTACTGTCATTCCAAATATTTTTCCCGGTGGTAGACGATTAATTTTCTGTCCTGTCGTCACTTTTGCCATACAAAGAGCAATTGCATCTTCGGCAGCTTGCTGTCGTTTTAGAGCGACCTTTCAATTAAGAGAAAAAAGTTAATTACTTTACACGAATTGTAATATAATTATATTTAATATTAAATATATAAATACTAAAATAGTAGTAAATAATAATAAAAATAATTTAATTTATTTCAAAAATTTTATCCTTATTTTTTTCAATAATTGAATTCTTTCTAGAAAATGTAACTAAAATTGTATTAAACATGACTTAATTCTTGGCAAGATTTTTATTAAAATTATTTAAAATAATTTAATTGTTTTAAAGAATTTATTTCAGTTAATTACAATGAATTGTAATTAATAATTTTCCTATTAAATTATATTAAAAAATTGTTTAAAAAATTTTATTACAATTTTTAAAAATAATTGAACCTGTTAGGGAAATTTTATTGAAATTATCTTGAATATAATTGAATTTTTTCCAATAGAAATTTTATTAAAATTGTATTGAAAATAATTGAACTTCTCAGAAGAATTAATTGTATTCTTTCGAAATTTTTTTTTTTAATTTTGAATCTGTAATCATTCGAAAATTGATAATGAAAATAAAATAAATATTATACGTAAATATATTTATGTATATGAAATTAATATCAATTAAATTGCTTTCAGGAGTTGCATTCAACTAAAGATACCAAAGTGCGAATATTCACTAAATATACATACACGTGTGTGTATATAATAATCAGAAACAGTTTTGAGATTTTGAGGGTTGAAGTGTTGTATGGACAAAGGATCGAGTGACTCTAATGCCTATGCAAACAGAAATGAAATACAACACTGAAGCTTAATGGATTTTGCCTTTAATGATACCAGACAAGAAGAACGATTGAGAAATGAGGAGACTGGATATGTTACATTAACAAAAATGATTTTTTTTCTTGAAACTTTCATGTGAGTGCTATTCAGAATATTTTTTTTTTGAAACAAAAATTTTGCGATTATTCTAAAATTCAAGTAGTAGCAGCGAATGTTGTACTACTCAAATTTTACAAAAAAATTATATTTTGGGAAATTACAATTTCTAAATTACTCAGAAATTTTATATCTGAAATAAATTTTATTTAATTAAGAGAGTAAATATTTTAGTGTTTAATGAATTAAATAGGTACTAAATTTGTTAATTCATACTAAAGTAGTTAAATACTGTTTAGTATTTTCTTAAATTAAATACTATTCAGTACTTGTTTAATTTAATACTATTTAGTTCTTCATTTATTTAATTGAATATTATTTAGTTTTTTTGCTTACTATTTACTAATTTCTTAAATACAAAAATACAATTTTTTACTATTATAAGAAATTATTATATTTATTTACAATTTAATTTTAATTGTTATGAAAGTAAATTCAAAAAAGGAAATCTCTCACCTGTGCTGCCATAACTCGTTGACGTTCAGCAATTAGGGAACATTTTACACAAAAACAATCGCGATAGCGACATTCCCTTTTATGACCCCTCAACCAAGATATGAGTCCATGATTTCTGCATCTTGCACATTTAGGTTTCCTTTGTTTAACACTCGAATCATCATTTTCCTCCAATTTCTTTGATTTTACACGAAGCATTGTTTTATCTTCACTTTGCGTTCTTCTATTTTTTTTAAAACCTTTTCAGTCTTTCACATTCAAACACATTTTTCTATTTTAATAATTTCTTGAATTTTTTATTTTTATTTATTAATTTTCTTTGTATTAATTTTCTTTTTGGGTAAAAATGAGGATTTTTAATGCTTGATGAAAGAATTTTTTTTAAGAAAAAACAGAGATGAGGAATTTATTTTGGTAAACAAATATTTTAATTAATTTTCTAAAAAAAATATTTGAATTTTTAAAAAAAATATTTTAACTAATTTTAATAACAGAATATTTTAATTAATTTTACTAAAAAATATTTTTATTAATTCAACTAACAAAATATAATCAATTCTAGTAGAAAATATTGTATCATTTAAAAAATAGAAAATGAAAAAGTACAAAAGTTAATTTAAATAAAAAATATTTTTTTATTTGAAAAAAAAGTGAATGAAAATGAAAAAAAAATTGTTAATTTAGATTCTTTTGAAATAAGGAAAAAAAATGTTTGTGGGGAGTTTATTTTTTAACTTTAGAGAAAAAATTGTAAATTCTTTGAAATTTGACTTTAATTTTGAATATTGTTATTTCTGTTAGGTTTGATAGATGATCACTGACTGAAGATAAAACTCTCATCGTTGAATCAAAAATTTCTTTCGGAAAATTCGGTTACAAGCTGACAAGTTTCAATTGGTTGCTCCCCTAGTAACCATACTTTATCTCTGTTGAGAAGAAATCCTTCACTGGACCACCCTTACGCTTCGATTGGTTCAACTTTGTTTACCTTCTCCGCCTCGCTGTTCACATTGTCGGTTTAGTTTAAACAAATACACAAGTGCCACTGAAAAAAAAATAAGAACAATTATATTACAGTTCATGTGAATTTAAATTCAAAGAAATTAGAAATTTCATTTACATTCTATTTTTAATAATAATAATTAATATAAAAAAGAAATAAGAGTAAAAAATACGTTTCTTTTAATAGTATAAAAAAAATTTCCAAAAATTACTGCAAAAATTGTATGAAAAATTATTACAAGAATAAAAAATACTTTTTTTATTTTTTAAAAAATAGAAGAAAAATATTCTGCAAAAGTTTACTGCAAAATAATATTTGAAAGAAATTTTTCATTGAATTTTTTCAATTTTCTATCGATTAAAATTCAAATATCTTAAATTTACATGCCATAAATATCTTTTTTGAAAACAAATTAATTAATTAAAACAAACAGAGGTAAAAAACTAAATATTTCTAAAAAAATAAAAGCAATAACAAAAAGGGGATTTAAAGTTTAAAAAAGACTCTGAATACGTTTTTTTCTTCGTTTATTAATGAAAAATCAAATCGAGTGCCAATTATAGGTACAATATCAATTACTAGAACAATTGTTATGTACTTCAATAATTTTTTTTTGTTCTTTTTTTATTATTTGATATTACAAAACATTTTCTCTAATTTAACAATCAGTAATAATTTTTAAAATCTACTTCACTTTACAGTAAAGAAGAAAATGTTTTCTTTTTCGCAATAAAAGAAAAGAAAAACAAATTTGCTATTCATAGAATATGAAAAATTGTTTAACTGACTCGCTTTTTGTTTTGCTTTTCATTATTATTTTTTTTTTCTTTTTAGAATTATGATGTACGACTTTGAAAATTTCAATCCGTTACATTAAATATATTCGTTGGTAGCATTTTTTTTTAATATTAATTATTTAACTCTGCGCTGACATTTATCTCTGTTAAAAATTTCTATATTCGTGTGATATGCAAATTCATTGTCTCACTAAGTGAAAAATTCTACAATGCCTTTATATTCATTTTCTTTTTTGTAATATTAAAAAATATTTCTATTGCAATATAGATATATATGTATATATATAAATTGATATAATATAATCTCAATATATATTTTTTTATATTTCGTGGTTTTTGAATACAGAAATTTTTAACTGGAATAAACATTTATTTTCGTCAAGTACTTTTTTTAAATTGTTTTTTTTCATTTGACAAAGAATTGGGATTCGTAATACAGTATAAATGTAAATATAAGCGAATAAAATTATCAGTAAATATAAAATTGCATTTTAGATATATGATATATTTAAAATAACTTCTTTTTTCATTCGTGTTCAAATATATTTAAAGAATGAAATTACCTTTTTAAATATCTAAGCAATTTTTTACTTTTTTCCGGGGATATTTAAAAAATACAAAATATTTGGTAAAAAAATTTGTTTCCTAATTTTTAAAAATTAATATGTAAAAAAAATATCCCAGGAATCGTGAGACATTTTCTTTGACGAATTCCATTTTTTTTCTGTTTTTTTTTATCTTTTTAATTTCCTGACAATATAATGTATATATATATTTATTTATGAAAAATGTATATATCGTTTGAGTAAAATTTATGAAATTTAAAAATCGAAATTCATTATCAAGCGATAGTTAAACTCGGCCTATTAAAAAGACAAATATATTTTATATATCATAATAAACGTATAATCACGCAACGATTTTTTTTTTGTGCATACGATTATTGTGCTCACAGTAATAATTAGTTGGCTCGTTGAGAAACTTACAAACTTATTTATAAATATAAATTTAAAACAATTATGTCCGTTTTTCTTGAACTTTTCATTTTTTTAATTAATTAATTTTTAAAAGCACCTCCCGCCAGGAATTTTCATCAAATTTGTCGGCAGAAAAAATTTATTTTTGATGGCATAAATTCGTTATCGACAACGATTCAAATGGGAATCGATGAAGAAACGAATTTTTACTAATTTCATTTTTTCTTTTTTTTGTTCTCTAATACACAATTACCACGATTCATTTCCTTATCACCGATTGGCCCCAAAAAACGAAAGATTACCTTTCCTTTCATTCTTTCAACTGTACAACTTTCTCACTTTTTTTTCTCGTCGATCCTAGAATTTTTTTTTTTTATTTTGCGATTTGGCTCGTTCGATGCGATGAAGATATGTATTACTCGATTGAAATTCAGTTGTTTTTGTTGTCCCTCAGTAAACATTTTTGTTAACTATTACAATATATTAAAAATTCATTCAAATTATTTTTTTTATATAGTTATAATAATTAGTGTAAAAATTATCATTTTGATAATATTAATTAATATAATTGTAAAATTCGGAAAGAATTCTATATTGAGACAATTTTCTTTTAATGCGAACTCGGTGAGTTGCAGTAACAAAACGTAGAATTTTTTTTTTAAATATAACAAATTCCTTTGTGTCTTCGAGTGTTTGATTTCTTTTTTCTTTTTCATCAAGCTAAAAATGTCGAATACAATTTCTTTTTTCCAAGTAACAGTTAAATATTACAAGTATTGTAACTATTTTCACTAGGCAAAGTTTGGCAATGGAAATAATTTGGAGCTGTGTTTTCTTTTCGACAATAAAAAAAATATTCTTTCGTTTGTAGAAAAAATTGTTAATTATAAAAAAAAAAATTTCCAAAATTTGCGTTTTTTTTAACATTTCGAAAATTTGTTTCTAAAAATATTTTTCTTCGCAATATTAAAAAAACGCATTGTTTTTAATTTTATTATCTATTAATAAATAATAATTATCTCTTAATTCAAATTGTTAATATTGAATAAAACTAAGAGAATTAAATATTAAGAAAAAGTAAATAAAATTAATTTAATCGACGACGGAGAAAAGTGAAAATAATTTCACTCAATTGAATTTCGATTGAAGGAGAGAGAAAAAAACACAGCTCCAAGACATTTATCGACCCAGTTATAGTGTGCAGTTTTATCTCTTTGATAGTGTCTCTCGGGAAGACACGTTCCAGTTTCAGGTAACCCTCTAGAATCCCATGGGAAACGCTCGCACTTAGACTATAAAGTTAAAAGTACAAACTATAAGAATTCTCAATACATGTATAATGTATAATATTGTTGTATACTATATAATCAAAAAACAGGTACTTAAGTTAAGAGGAACGAGTGCTCCGATTTTTTTTCGTCCAGATAAAAAGTCTTAGATCATCGCGTCTTCATTTTTCTTTGATAAATAATTTATACAATGTAAAAGTGATTTTTCTTTCTCTAGATAATTTTTGTGCCTTTGAAAACAAAATTCAAACTTATAATTCGCATAGAATTTTTTTTTCTTTTTTGCATAAACTTAGAAGTATTCATGAGAATCCATGTGGGTACCTTTCCATTAATTTCATTTTCTTCAGACTCTCGTTTGTTGGAAATGAAAGTATTTAGAAAAAATAATTCCCATTTGAAAAAATAATTCACGTTTTAAAAAATAATTCACATTAGAATGAATGATTCACATTAAAATGAAAAATTAAAGCCTCGTAGTAATTTAATACGGAAATATTCAGTAATTAATTAGAAATCAGCTTTCTAGATTTTTTCAATTTCTTCTAAATCTTTTTTATAATTTTTCTTTTTCGTAATTGTCTATTTAGAAAAAAATTTTCTTCTTTGAAATTCGAAAACAAATGTTTGAATTGGTACCTATTTTCCAAATGTGTGACATTTTTTAAATTACGTATTTTTTTCACTAAATAAATCATCGTTCGATTCATCTTCAACCTCTTCACAAGTCTTTACATTGCCGTTAGGAAACAAAAATTTCAATTTTTCCGCCAATATAAATAATTTATTACTAATTATTTTAATTCAATAATTTGAAATGCAGAAAAATTCTTCAATTTTTTAATTCATTCAATTATTTATTTTATTACAAAATTATATCAATAAAAATTCGTCTGATTAAAAAATCTTTAATTCATTCAATTATTTTTTAATTTATTATAAAATTATTCCAATCCAATAAAAATTTCTTTAAATTATTAAAATTCTCGCAATAATTAGGATTTTAAAATTAATTTTTTAATTTTATTAAATTATTTCACTGTAAAAAGAATTTTTTTTTTAATTTATAAAAATTTGTTTAATTCGTCATTAAAGTATTTTAATAGAAGATGAAAATTATTTTCATTATGAAAGTTGTTTAAAATTAGTTCAATGTAATAAAAATTTATATTTTCAATTAAATTTTTCGCCCGCGTCTTGAATTAAAACTCAAAGGACAATGATCGTAATTAAAAATTTTGATTAGACAATTATTCTCGATGTCGCTCATCGTAATTAATTCGTTGTTCATTTAGCATTCGGTAAAAGACGATAATTTGTGTATTACTTTCATTTCCCCCCCGTGATCAAAATTCTTGATTAGAATCATTTTTTTTCCATTAATTTTTTAAAATAGTCTCGATATTTTTTTTATTTTAGGCCAAAACTAAATTATTGAAAAAGCAAAAGAAGATTGTGAGAGGTCAAAGAGATCGGTATTCTTTTTTTTTGGCAAATGCCACAATTTTACAACTACGGCTACTTAAGAATGAGATTAAAAATTTCTTTTTTTGGACGTTAACGCTATAAAATCGATCGCACATTACTTCTAAAAACGTCCACTACTGTTTTTCATATTTTTTTTTGTTTCTCTTTTAAATACATTTTTCTTGCGAATTTTGTGAGACTCGTTATACATTTACGTACATTTTTGCAAAAATTTTAATAATGATTTTTTTTTTGCCCCTCGTGTACGTTTGGACTACAACACATTTATTCTGATCGCGACGATATTTATTTTAAAACTTCTAATAGCATCGTTTACAAAAATCTTAAAACTATTCAACAAAAACCAATCTCATAACAGTTCATACATTTTTTTTTCTCTCATTATTTTCTTCCTCTACTCGCAATATTTCACAATATTTTTCATGCTCTTTTGCACTGATTCGTCGTTCGCTCTATCGCATTTTGCACTTTCCTTCTCGAATAAAAAATTACAACGACCTTCAAGTTTTCAATGTGTGTAGGAGAAGAAAGGGCTCTTCTACCTACTGACCTAAACATAAACTAACAATGAATTAATTACCCACTTTTCTCAAGAGGGTGGAGATTTATTTAAAAAAATTTTAAGGTCACATAATATGAGAATTAAAAGGAAAAAAGTATTTTTATTTTCACTTGAAAATTGCTTTCAATCAAGAAATTTGTAAAAAGAAAATTTTTTATTGTTTTCAAATCAAAATTTCATAGAGAAAATTAGGAAAATCGAAATATTTATTTTTAATGAAATTATGAAATTTCATTTTTTTTTATTTAGAGATAATAAAAATTTACTAGTTTAGATAATAAAATTTGTTCGTTTAGATAATAAAATGATATATTCGTATATAATTTACAACATACCAGACTTTATATTTGAAAAAATATCCAAAAGTTTAAAAACTTTTGGAACTTGTTCCCTAGTTAGTGAAAATATTTCGAGTTCAGTCTTATTAAAACATTTTTTAAACAATATAATCGACAAGGAAAGAAATTATTCTCGATTACTTTGTAATTTTTTATGAAGATAAAAATTAAAAATACCGAATTAAAATTCAGCGCGACATAAATTTATCAATCTGAGAAGTATTTCCTTCCGCATGTTTTCTTCAAAACAGTCTTTAACTCAATAAGTACATTTTTAATACTTGAAATTCAATTGATTTTAATTACAAAAATTTAACTTTTCGTAATTTGTTACTTTTGATTACAAAAAATAAAATAAAAATGTACGAATACATTAATTAATTAATTAGTACTTAAACTACTTTCTTTATATCAACATCTATAAATTTTTTTTTCGACACAATCTAAAAATAATCAATTCTCCACGTACCTAATTTCACAACCTTCAATTTTTATAATTAATAATTATTATATTGAATTCTATAAATCCCTTAAGAATTTTAATAAATATTGTAGTCTATTAAATATTATTGCCTAGAATTTTACAATTCTTAATCAATATATTCTTGAATTATAATTAATAATTTAATTCTTCTTTTATCGATTCTCCATGAAATTTTAAAAAATTTCCGCTTTGTTTTCTTGAATTTTGTTTGCAAGTTTTATTATTGAAAACCTTTTCTTAATTTCATTACTTCTTTTAATTTTATTACTTTTTTTAATTTAATTTTTTTTTACTTCCATTATTATGAAGAAAAGTCTTTATAATAAAGATTTTCAGAGAAAAATAATAATGATTTTGCTCAAAAATTCTTGATCAAATACAATTTTTTTTCGAGTGGAAATATTATAAGCGATTATTAAAAAATTTCAATAATAATAATAATAATAAAAAAATGAGAAGAGAAATATTCTTCGTTTCGTTGTTATTATTAGCCAGATAACAATAATAATTCCTATCTTACAGTCTACATTGAAAATTGTATTTTCATTTAACAATATTATTTCATATTTTTAGTGTCAGAGAGAGAAAGAGAAGTTAATAAATATTATATGTTTGTGTATAAACAATATATTCGTCTTGTTTTTTTCATATTTAAAATACACATGCAAATATCGAACTTTGGTTGATCTTTGAAAATCGGAAATTTGTCTTTATTTATTTTTTACGTAAATAGACTTCTTTAGAAGCGAATTGAAAATCTTGCAAAAAAAAAAAAATATATTAAAAATATTCTATGCACTGTAATATTATATTATCTATCCAAGATTAAATTGTTTTGTCATACAATTTTTAATCAAATTTTATTTAAAAAAGCCGAAAAATCCAATTTTTTAATCGTTGAAAAAATGATCTATTTTATATATTAAATACAAATGGAAAATAATTAAATAATAATTTTAATAATAATTTGAATAAAATAATAAATTAGTTTATTATTATAATTATTTTTATTATTAATAATTAATAATAATAATATCGATCACTCTGAGTGATAAATTCGTAATTTTACTAATTTTATTATTATTATTATTATTATTATTATTATTATTATTATTATTATTATTATTATCGTTATTATTTTGTTATTATTAAAATTATAAGCATTTTTTAAAATTATTAATAGTACAAAAGTGATTAAAATGGAAATTACAAAAAACTCCTGTCGAAAAATTTGCGAAAAGCGAAATTTAAGATTTTTTTTCTATTTTCGTTATTAAAATATTGTTTTTTTTTATTAAGTGAGCGAACGACGAAATTTGTAGCCATTCTGTGCATTTTTATAGGGAGATTGCCTGATCACGTCGATACTCCTTTAGGTTTTAACTGAACTTCTTTTAAACACCTATAGGAGTAAAAATTACGACGTATTTGAATATTATAATAAAGCGATAATTAATAACAAGAACAAGATTATTGGCCAATTACAAATAACATTTTTTCTTTACTTCTCTTTTCTTTTTTTTTAACTTTTTTGTAATCGAACAACTATCTCTTTCGTGTCAACTATTTTCTTATAATTCTAAATTGGGAAAATTTTTCTGGTCTATTTAAGATTTTACGAATAGGAAAGAGTCTTCTTAATTCTCTTCTTTTTCATTGGAAATTTAGGTCGTCAGTTTTTAAATAATTCTTTCTCTTTCCTCACAATTAAAACATTGTACATGATAAATTTATAATTTACAAAAAACGACCCCCTGTTTATTTTATAATTTGTCGTCGTCAAACCGATCGACGAATTTCATTTTAATCGGATACTAGAAAATTTCACTACTTATGAATAAAAAATTAGAAAATGAAATAACTTCGTTTCTTAATTATTTTTTCCTGTATTTTTCGAATTTAGATCTAAATTTCCCAATTAAATCTTTTTCCTTTTTTTTTAGAAATTTTTTCGTTTTGTTGAATAAATTTTGATAGAAATGGAAAATTTCCTTTTTTTTTGGATAAAATTTGTGTTTTGTAAAATAAAAATTACATGACGACACACTTTTCTTTAAAGCTGATTGCATTACTGCTTTGTACCGGTTGCAACGAAACTGATCGATTCTTTTCAAGTGTCAATAAATCTCGGAAAAGTGTATTTACGTTATGATTCGTTTTCGCAGATGTCTCCAGAAAACCACAACCCCAATTTGCTGCCTCCGCTGCTCCTTCGCTCAACGAAACCTCTCTCACGGAAGGACTCTCATCACACTTGTTTCCCACCTGGATTAAAAGGCAAAAAAAAAAAAATTAATTACATGACAATTTTGAATCTATATTTTTTAATTGCATTTTTAAAATTATATATTTAACATTCAATTATTTTTTTTAATATTATTTTCTTTAATTTTAATTTTCTAACTCTTTCCTAAAAAAAATTAAATTCTTTCTATTTTCTTTTCAGTTCTTACCAACATTATCGGAATTTGTGAAATATCTTGTCCTTTGAGCTCACGAATAACGGCCCAAATTGGTCGTAGTTCCTCGAGGCTTTGCCGGGAGCAAACGGAATAGACCAGGATGAAGGCATGTCCTTTGCTTATGGAAAGTCTCTGCATTGCAGGAAACTGATGAGACCCCGTTGTGTCCGTAATTTGAAGCGTGCAAATATTTTTGTTGCAGCTAATCACCTAGAAATCATGCCGCATTTTCAATTTTTTTTTTTTTGCTTCTGAAAATCTTTTTTTAAATGGCACACTTCGCATCACGAACACAGCAGAGGATCCCACAAGTTCCCTTATTATTTTTCTCTCTCTTTTTTTCCATCTCTCTCACTCTTTTTTCTCTCAACCCCCTTTTTCTCTGCAATAGATGCTAGACATGTGACATTCTGCCACTTTAGCTCTCTTTAACTCTAAGGAGGTTTATCGTCCAATGAATTATTCAAGACGAAAAACCTCATATTGCACTTAGAGAAAGATTTACTTGGGTCAACTATATTTTATACCGTCTTCTGAATATAAATAAACTCTGATTGCATAATCATGGAGAAAATCTTTTCTTCTCTCTGAAAATTTCTCATCAATCGCAATAAAATTTTAGACAATTTTAATAGAAATTCTATTCTATTTCTATAAATAAATAAATAAATAAATAAACAAAATAGACAATAGAAGAAAAAGAGATGAAAAAACAGAATCGAAATCGTGAATTAAATAGAATAAAAATTTCTATTGCGTTAATTAACATTAGAAGTGAAATTTGCTTCGGGAAAAAATTAATTTGATGGGAAAAAGTAAAATTAATTAACACAATATTTAGAAATTGAGATTAAGAACAATATTATCGGAGAGGGAAAAAAACAGTAAAAATCAGACAATATTTATTTTTAATTACAACTCGAAAGGATTCTCACGGTCTATAAATAATTTCAACTGATTGATTATTCCAAGTTTATATTACTAGCTTTTAATAAAAAATATTCAGCTTCTTTTAGAAGTTCAAGTTTTCCTAATTTAGCTAATCTGCAAGGTGAACTTTCTTCTATCTTTAAATAGAATTTTTTAATTTAAATTCACTTCAATTAATGATAAATATTTTCCCAGTGAATATACATAAAAAAATAATTACCCCCTCTAAAAATTATATTATAATTTAATGACAATCAGAAGAAATTAATTTTAATTTATTATTATTATTTATTTATTTAATTTTAATTTCATTTTCATTTGATTTAATTTGTTTTAATTTGATTTAATTTAATTTTCGTTTAATTTAATTTAGTTTTCGTTTAATTTAATTTAATTTTCGTACAATTGAATTTAATTTTCGTTTAATTAAATTTAATTTTTCACTCCATAATTATAATTAAAGCATTAGTAGAGTTTACTCTACTTTTAAAAAAAAATTAATGCTCCTTCATTCTTATTAAAAAAAAAAGAATGAAGAAAAAAAATTCTTTTTTATCGAATAAAAATCAGATATTCTGTCGACAATAAAGCACTTCACTGAGGATAAAAGTGGAAGACTGGATTTTAACGATATCCATCTTTATTAGAAGCTCTCTGGCGATCAATCCCTCGGCAATCTCACTTCCTGAATCCTAAACCACCGCAAGAATCTTTTAAGTATAAACAGGGTGAATATCTATTTTACCAAAATTACAGATGAAAATGTTTTTCTACTTTCTATTTAATCTTTATGTAAAACTAATGTCTTTTTTGAGTGTTTGTGTGAGAAAGAAATCTATTTTTTGTGGGAAAATAAACATCTTCTTTTCGGAGAGTAAAAAACATCTTTTTTTTGGGTGATAAAAAATTTTCGATTCAATAAAAGAAAGAAAAATGAAGGAAAATTTATTTATTTAGAGATTTTTTTCTCTTTCCCTCCCCCTAGAAGTTTGAAAAAAGAGAAGAAATTGTTTGAAAATTTAATTAAATTAAAAACTATTTCATTGAAAATTTTCTCTCTTCTAAGGAAAAGAGAAATCTTTCGTGAAAATTGAAATTACGGAAGGGGATTGCAGACTAACTCTTGAACTTCATTCCACAATTACACTAATGAATAAAGGAAACCAAGAGAGTGTTCTCCGACTTGTTTGCATGTTTCCTGATGTGAGCGAACAAAGAAAAGTAAGATGAAAAACGAAGGAAATCAAAAAAATATATTTCGCTGCATTGTTTTTTTAAATTCATAGAGAAATAATAATAATAGGAATAAAAATTACTACTACTATTATTATTATTATCATTATCTTTTACTATTCTTATTTTTATTCTTATTATTATTATTTTATTCTGTTATCCAGAAATTATTAGCAATTAAGGAAATTATAATTATGCTGGATCATGTAAACAAATTGAAATAAGAAATAATTGTCGTGGAAAATTTTTTTTTTACAAATTGCTTTATAATTTCGTTAAAGTCAACTAATTTATGACGATGACAAAATTGCATTTCAGTGTGAGTTATGAAATTAACACGCCAAGTTCACTCACAGTATTTTCCATGGAAACTCGAATATGATCTTCCTATATCCATACATAATTCTGCTTTTGACGACAAACTTAATATTACAACCTTTGCAACATTAATAATTAACTTAAAGAAGCAAGTGTAAAATGTGTCAATGAGCCAGAAAGATAATTTTATGGATGAGTGAAAAGAGCTTATTGTCGACATAAAATTAATAGCAACATTTAATGCAAAATTATTGTTTCTTTACTTGTTATTTATTTCTTATTTTTTTATTATGTTATTCATTTCTTATTATTTTTTTTGTAAAATTCGAAGCAAAAATGTTCTTTAATATTGAGGAGCGTAAAAAAATTTCTGTTCCTTAATCTTAATTAAAAACATTAATTTCACCGTTACAACAAAATTTACCAAAGTATTAAACAAATTAAACAAAAAAGGACATTACGAAATTAAATATTTTAAGAGAACTTGAAAAAATATTTCTCCAACTGAAAGCGAAATTTAATTATTAAAGCGAAATTGAAGTTTCTCTCAGTGACATAAAAATAAATTAAAAGGAAACTTTTTAACATCCAAGTTTCAAATAAATTTCAGATGAAACTTGAATTAATATAGATTCGATTTTCTTTTCTCTTTGATTTTCTTTAAATAATAAAAAGAAGAAAAGAAAAGATAAAAATTCCCGTTAATGATTAAATTATCAAAAGGAAAATTAACAAATTTGACAAAAAATTGACACAAAAAAAGGGGTTTGAAAGAAAGAATTTGCGAAAAAAAGAGAATTTTCATTTAAAATTATTTTCCCCAGTTATTATAGTGACGAAACAATAGCAATTTTAGTGTTGACAAATGCTTTATACCCGAGAATATAATATGCAAACACGAGACAGATATGTGACACAATGAACCAGATCAACGATTAAATCTTCGTTTATGACTCTCTCCCGTTGTTTCAAGTTTGGAAATGTCAAAGCTGTTAGAAGATCACAAAATTGAACCCGCAAAACTAACTAAAATTACTTAAAGCAAATTTGTCAAAGATAAATAAGTTTCAAATTAATTTCGACTAATTTAGTTGGAAATTAATTAGTCTAAATTTGCAATTTCGTCACTATAAACACTAAGATTCAAATTTAATTGAAAGTAGAAATAATTTTTAATTTTAATTTAAATTTTTTTATATCAACTGAATTTTATAACTAATAATAATTTCAAGAATTGTTAATTTCAATTTTTTTTATTATCTACTTTCAACTGAATTTTATAATTAATAGTCATTTCAAGAATTTATAACTAATAATCGTTCATTTCAATCATTTTTTCACTAAATTTACAACTAATAATAAAGTTGAAATTAATAATAAAACTGAAACTAATAATAAAATTTAACTTGTTGAAATTAATAGTAATTATAATTTTGAAACTAATTCTAAATAAATTACTTTTTGCGAATTATAAATAAACTTCTGAATAATAGTTTTCTATTTTCAATTTTTCTATATTAGCATTTTATGTAGAATATAAAATTCTAAATATATTATTGAATAAAATTATTAATTTATTGAATACAATAAATTTATATCCTATTTCTATGATAGAATCTTGGACAATAATTTAATTAGTTTCATCAACATTTTTTATGAAATAGTTTCATTAAAAAAATAAAGAAGATTAAGAATTATTATTAGTTACAAAAGGTTGAAAAAATAAATGATTAACCAACGACTTTGAATATTGAGGGAAAATTAATTTCTCTTGCTTTCTTTAAACATTGAAAGAAACGTTTGTTAATAAATTAATATCCTATTTTCAAAGTTTCGAATGAAAATGAAAAATAATTTATCAAGGCGAGGTAAAAAGCCTTAGTATAATGAGGCTGTGTGAAAAGAAAATGCATAACAAAGTAGTTTAACTAGAACGTCTAAATTGAAAACACTGTATATTGAGGAATTTAGTCGTTAAATATTTATTCTACATACTTGTCTATAAGTGTCCTCAATTGTTGGTATATAGGATTCCCGAAAAGTGCCTTTCACGAAGCGTAAAACCAAGGAACTCTTCCCAACACCTCCAGCACCAAAGACAACGACCCGGTAGTCGTTACTCTGTTCCGGCATCCTGACATCTGCTGCCGCAATTGTAATAGCTGGCCCGTTAAAAAACGGGCACTTGATTTTCCTTTTAAAACACGAATTCTCAACAATAACCTCCTCTCCAAACTCTCAGTCCTTCCTAGAATTATTTAATATTCTTTATTATTATTTAATATTCAAATTTTTTTTTTCAAAAACATTTTTTTAAAAACGTTTTTAAAAATATTTTTTCAAAAATTAAAAAGCTTTTTCTTCAAAATATTTTCAATTTTAGATAATCATTAGTCCTTGCGATAAATAATGGAGAAAACTTTGCTAATTTCGAGAGTAAAAATAAAACCACCTTCATGAACTGACGTCTGCTCGATCAACGAGTGATATGATCCAAAAACAGTGGGCGCGATCCATCTATACGACCTTAGGACATCCGTTGATTTATCATCAAGATGAATCCAGAAGGTATGAAAAAACAAGGACTCAGACTCTTTTTCTCACAGTTTTTAAATTTTTTTATGTATATACTTTTCCCTTTTTCCAGGAAGACTATTTTTGTTTCTTTGGCTTCAATTTCTTATTTTTCTCTCTTTTATTTTGTTTTAATATTTGAAAATGTTCCCGAAAAGTTTTGTTTCCACGCTAGAGATATCTCTCACTTCACGTCGCGAATGTTACATAGTTGAAACACTCTCTCACGGGGTAGCTGCAACTTTTGCGGCGTGAACTTTGATTAATTCGGGTGAAAACGAGGCGCGCACACCCACTGCACCGGACGAGATCATTTCACTGTATGAGTGGGTAGGTGCGCACTAAACCAAAAGTACTTTCCATGGCGAAAAATCAATAGAAAAGGGTGGCTGGCACATGCACGCCTCCGCCGTCGACGCATTTCTCGTATGATATCAAACACACGTTTTTTCCCCCCAAGAAAAAGAGTCCACAATAAATCCCACGCATCGTCGTCGTCGTCGTCGTCATCATCATCATCGTTGAATCATTTCCATTTACTTAGGGTGTTAATTTGAAAATAAACTTTCCTTCTTCTATATTATCAGTTCTCCTGCTTCAAATATTAATTATCTATACACTAGAAAAATTCGGTGTTAAATATATTCTCATGTATTTTAAATTCTATACTTCGAAAATTAAGAAACAAATTATTCTCCCTTTATCAGTTCTTAATTACTTTTATTTTTTACTTCAATGAGTAGGCAAGTTCAAGTTATTGAGATTGAATTTTAATTACAAAAAATAAACTCTCGAGAGTAATATTTTTTTTCTCCCCATGTTCTCATAACATTCATCAATCAAAAGCCATTAACAGTGAAGACAGAATCCATTTCGAATCATTTGATATTATTATCAGATAAAATTGAATCCATTTAAAATTACTGGTTATATGTTATATTAAAAAAATAAAATTTACGACAGTGGAAATAAAATTAATCATGAATTCGAAATTTAATGAAAGCACATTAATATCTAAATTTTGTGATTATAATAATAAAAAAATTCACAAGTAAAAAATTTATTTCATAAATTCAATTTTCGAAAATTCTTTCTCTATCGTAAACATCCTTGAAATAATTCGATTATTGTAAAAGTAGTAAGAAGAAACTTAATATAAATAAATACCGTGAAAAATCGGTTATTGAGTCCATTTTCGTAAATTCTTTAGAACAAAAGCACTGAGAGCAGTCTCATAAATTCACTTCACAAAAACCACGGATTTACCATTGGCTTTACTGTTCTTGAACTTTATTTAAGTAAGTCTTTAGTTCTCGACTGAATTTCAAAGCTAGGATTCTTTCACGACAGGATTTTTTATGAGGTTATCGCTGCCTTCATTTTCAATCGCATCGTAGGTCCATTTTCTATTATTTCTGTAAAAAAGAAAATGCAAACAAAATTTTAATCTAAGAAATACTTTCATAAATTTACCCTGACTCGGAGTGATCGTTATATTTACATTTTAATATTTTAATTTAATAATTTTTAATAATGAGATAAATTAATTCTAAATACCGAAATAAATAAATACAAAAATAAATATAAATATAGAAATTTAATAATTCTAAATACAGAATTAAAATGATACCTGCACTCGTGGCCGCATTTCGTAGAACCACATTTTGGACATTGAAAATGACAACCGGGACAATTTTTATTTAAACAATCACAGAGATTATCGCCAGTTGCATTTAAAATTCCCTTTTCATCGTACAAAACGTTCTTCTTTTGTGGCTGAGAGAGACGACGATTTAATTTACGTTTCTCTCTTTCACTCGTCTCAGGATCGAAATTGCGAAGAAATTTTTTAGTAACACTGTCGACACCTTTTTGCTTTACGCCTCTAGTGCTTTTCTAAAATAATATTTACATATCGATTTATTATCAAGAAATTGATTTATATAGTTACAATACGTACCCTCACAGCTCTTGTGTCAAACGATTTATCCGATGAGTAATTCATTATTAAATCTTATTTCAAAATACCAGTTTTCTCAAATCTGAAATCAAAAATTAGTTATATTAATGCATAAGAAATAATAGTTTTTTACTATTCTTTTTAAAAGTGTATTTGTATTTAATGTTCTTTTTGTCTTAAATGAATAAATTAATAATTAATTACATAAACAATAATTTTTATAACTTTCGGTTCGATTCAATCCTCATAAATTGTCTTAGAAATAAACAAATAAAAAAAATATGACGTTTAATGCATTTAAATAAATTGTTGTAAATTGTCTACTATTGTTCAGAATAATGAATATTGTTAAAACAAACTATATAAAGTAAATATAAACGATATAAACATTAAGAATAAACATTTTTTATAAATTAAATGCATTTTTCATCCTTTAATAGAGGAAAAAAAGGTAACAAAAACATAACCTAAAAATTAATTTTTGTGTTTTTGTTGAATAAAATAATTGTTTAATGTGAGAAGTACTTAATTATTATTGAATACAATTGTTGATAAAATTGATTACTCACTCTTAATATATTCCTGTATCAATTTTCAAAATTCTATCTAATTATTATACGTTATTTAAATTATAAAATAAAAACATTTTGACAGAAAATGATAGAAAAAACTTGTATTTTTTTCATGAATTTGGTAACACTGTCACACAGTTTACCGCGCGAATGATAACAAATTTTTAATTTTTGGACTTCAATATTTTTTTTATTAATTGCAAGTGGAATTTCTCTTTTTATTGATAAAAAAATAAATCTTGTCAAAATTTTAATTTTATATTGTTTTATATAATTTTGTATTCTATTTAAGTAAACAAAATTCAAATAAAATTGTTAATATGAAGAATTCGAGTAGCGCGACGCCTAGCGGACAAAACTTGAACTAAGATGGCGTCTTTGCATTGCGAGTCTACCTTCTCATTTATAGGCAGCGGCAAGTCATGTTCATTTCGAAAAAGCCGTTAAAAGCCGTTAAATTATTAACATCGAAATGTTTTATTGTTAACAAAGTGTTTTCAACAATGATATTCTATTCATTAATGTTAAATACACGTTGGAGAACATAAATTTTGTCAAGAAAAGAAGAGAACATTGTACATGCCATGTTTGGACAATAGCCGCAGCACGTGGTTTTCAACATTGTGTATTTTATTCTTTTACTACATATTCTGAAAGTCTTGAGATATCAGGATACTGATGCGGAGGTTCCTGTATATCAGAAGTAGCTGTTGCTACTGATCCTTTTTGTTAATCAGCGACCGGTGAGTACGTCTTTTATCATAAATATAATTATTTAAACAATTATCACAAGAATCACAAGCAAAAGATTATATATTCTTTGTACAGAGTAATGATACAAATTAAGTACTTAGAACAAAGGACTTTAAAAATGTGGTGACACTCGTTGGCAAAATTTAATATTTCTTAATAATTAATAAAGAAATTAATAAGTCTTATTAATTTATTAGTAATAATAAATATATTGTCTCATTATGTTTGGTTATTATTATTCAGTAGAAAAATTATTGAATGACATATTTATTTTTTTTATTCAACATCATGTTTTTTTTAAATAAAAAAATATTTTTCCAATAAAAATATTTGTATTTTGCCTCCGGCGCATTTGCTGTAAAAAGTAAGCAGCGAAGTGACTCAATCGTTTTTCTATAAAGGCGCTCTCTCACCTCTACTGCCTGCCTGCCTGCACAGGCAGGCGCAATGAGAGTAAGGGAGAAAAAACATTTAATTTGAATTTTCTGACTCTCTTACTCTTATGTGTTACCATGACGACCTGCAGGCAGGCAGGCAGGCAGTAGAGCTGTGCGAGCGCCTTAAACCTTGGTTTTGTGAGTGTATGTGTGATTGTATTCGTGTTGTTTTCATGCATCACAAAAAGTGAAACTGTGAAAAAGCAAAAAATGACAGACGATGATAAAATTGGCACTCTCACCGACGAGGCCTTAAAAAGAAAAGAGCGTCTCGCACTTTTAAAAAGAAAAAATGATGCACCAAGTGATAAAATTGAACCCTCGAAAAAACTTCCAACGTAAGTACTTACAGTCAGAAATAAATATTCCTAGCCACTTTAATCTTGAACTCCAAAACTAACCTATAAATTTTGTTTACCTTCGATCGGTTTAATTCTTGTCGCATTGAATTATTTCTCATTTGTTTTAGACCAAAATTTCGAAGTTATAGACCACAGGACGAGAGTTTAAAAGAAAAAGTATTGGAAGACGCGAAACCTGGTGATGTAGAATCAGAAGTTGCTGAACAGCTGAAAGCAGCTACTACGAAGGCTGTCATCGAGGAGCTTGTGAGTCTTATTTATTCCTTATTTTATACATTTTTTTTCTGATTTTAATTTTCTTTTCCTGGAAATTTTCGTTTATTTGCAATTAATTTTTATTTACAGGACATTCATAATTTAGCTCCGAGGAAGCCGGATTGGGATTTAAAAAGAGACGTTGACAAGAAATTAGAAAAATTAGAAAGGCGCACACAAAAAGCAATAGCTGAATTAATTAGGGATAGATTAAAAATGGGTCAGGAAGATCTTGCAAGTGCAGTTAATGTTGGGACGAAAACATTTGAAAACGGAAAATAAAAAAAATAAGACTAGAAATTTAATTTTACTTTGTAATTTTAATATTCTGTAAATAAGCATTTTTCTATAATATAAAACTATATTTTATCACAAACCAGTCGATTTAATAAAACCTCGTTTTATATTTTTATTTAAAATTAATTTTAATTGTTTTTGTTTTGCTTGTGCACAGGCCTCGCTCAGACATTACTTTTTCCGATTATTTTCAAAAAATGCGACTTTTCCGACATTTATTCAAAATAATGCAACAAAATACTAAATTTTCAATATAAAATACAAATTATTTTCATTTTTATAGTGTGAAAAATAATTAGACAAATTTTTCAATTAAATTATTTTTTTAAGTCAGAGAGATACAGAATAAAATTTTTGTGACAACACTGAATTAAGTAAACGACTTTTTTTTGACTACTTTTGTATTTTGATTCGACAACAGCGATTTTTTTGCGCCTTAAAGTCGATACGAGGCCTGTGTGCACGAATTTTTTTTTAATTCTTCGTGAAAAAAAATTTAATGATAAAATATACATAATTTAGTGGAAAGGAAATTTTAACACACTTTAAGCTTTTGTTTTTTTAAATTATATTTCTATTATTACGAGAACATATTTCAGAAATACATTTGGTGTATCAACCTAAGAAATTATATTTGCATAATTATTTGCATACTAGTTAAGTTAACTAGAAATAAGAAATGTTTCTTTGTTCATAAAAAATTCTTTTACAAAATGTCGAGACAATCAGAAAATATACCAAAAATTTATCAAACGTGTCATTAACAGTTCTTGATTATTTCTAATAATGTTTCTTTTACATAAACGAATTTCGATTCTTTTTTCTTGTTATGAAATTTTTATAATTATTAAAAACAAGTTAATTTGATTTTATTTCCCTTGAGACGAATTTTAAGTGTGAAAAACATATTTTTGAACTTTCTGTGTAATAATAATATTAGATTTCTTCCCAGCGGAAGAATACATTAGAAATTAGTATAACTGAATTCGGAAATCGTTGTCTATAAAGAATACTAGCGTCACTATATTTTTATTGCATTAATTTATTACTTATCTATATATATTTTTTTTATTTAATAATATACTCTGGACGATAAATTTATTGCCTAACGTAGTAAATTTATGTGATAATTGTTTAAATATACATGAATCGAAACGAAAAAAATATAATTATTATGCTCATCATAAAACTTAAAAATCCATTAATATCACGACAATAGTTTTTAAAAAAAACGAGAATGAATACATATATCCAAAAATAATTTTCGAATGTAAAGGAATTGAGTACATTTCTTAAAAAGAAAATAATTGAGAATTAGAAACTATTTACAATTTTTGATAAAGCATGATTTTTTTTTTGAATTTATAAAATTATTATCTAATGTAATAATTTTCACAACAGTAATTACTTTAGTAATTTTTAATTATCGTTAATTATTTAATATAGACGGCGATTAGTACATTTTTTTGCTTTTAATAACAAAGAAAATGTTACTAGCGCGTTTATCACTTTTGTTATAAGTTTATAATAACCACAAGAATACTGCGCCTAGAAAATCTTAAAACACTTTAATTTTCTGTAAATTACACCACATATGAAAAGAAGTGACAAAAATTGTCATGTTCACAGGTCTCGGATATTATGACTTTTTCGACTTTTTAGAACTTTTTTCGAATAATGCGACTTTTATTTAAAAATTTTATTTCTCGTGAAAAAAGAAATATTTATTAAGCATGAAATTACTCAAGTTTTGATTAATTGAATTTAGAAATCAGTGAAATAGAAAATAAAATTTTTTGTGACAACACTGAATTAAATAAAGGACTTTTTTCTATTTTTTATCGACTAAAGCAACTTTTTTTGTGTCGATCCGAGGCCTTTGTTCGATAAGTATATAAATATGAGGTGTAAAAATTATTGTGCGTTAAAATTAAACAAACGGCTATAATAATTAATACAACGAATTTTCTTCCTTTTGGAAAAATCAATTTTTGAGATCCGGGTTGATTTTTTTCTACTCTTTCGTTTCACCTTCTTCCTCGATTTCGTCTCACGTACCTCTAGTTTCAATTTTAATCTTCTTCTTCTCCTCGACTAATTTAACATCAGTCACATGTAAATTGTGAATACTTTTTGCCGCAAATTTAATAACCGATTGTGTTGATACTTGCGTTGTGTGTCGTAGATCGAGTCGTTTCAAAGCATTACAACGTAGAAGATGATCGAGTGTGGTTTCAGTGAGTAGTTTGCAATTTGAGAGATTTAAGGAGACGAGATGATTCATTGTCTGTGCGGGTGGTGCGGCTAATTGTGCGACTCCAGCGTCAGTGACTCTACCGCATGATGAGAGATCGAGATTTTCCAAATGAGGTAAATGTTGAGAGACGTAACGCAAAGCAACGTCAGTTATGTCACAGCCAGCTAGGGATAGATTTCTTAGATACTTTAGGCGCGATGTTTTGTCAATTAAACCGGGACGAGAGTCGGTGGGTGGACTGAGAACTTCCCTTAGACTTGAGTCATTTAAATTTGAGACGTGACTGAGATCGAGAGATGTTAGCGGTGGACAGGCACATGTGCGGAGTGCACAAACACCGGACCAGGTGCAACCTTGGAGAGAGAGACTGCGTAATTGGGGCAGTCGACTGAGAAGCCAGGCGAGTTGTCGTTTCGTGACGTTCGTCCAATTTAACGTGAGTCTCACGGGTTGACGACGTGTTATTCCGGTTAAGTGAGCGGGTGTCAATTGAACGTGGGATAAATCGAGACGGCGCCAAAGAGTCGGATCTATCGTGTATCGGGACCAGGCGCGACAGACTAGGGCACAATTCACTAGATCCTTGATCGGCAGGTACCTGAAGACTGAGATGATGGCGACTTTGTTGAATACGTAGAATTGACCGTTAACGTCCTGACCTGACCTGTGAACCGGGGGCAGTGGCATTGGTCGCACAACGACACTCGGTTTCTTTAATGATTTACTGCTCGATCCGGTCAATTGTGAGGCTAATTGGGTCCTTAGGGCTGTTCTCTGCTCACCTTCGGCCGGTTCTCGATCTGCCCAGGTCTACAAATCAGAATATTCTTTAGGGTCAGGAAAAAAAATCAAAATCAGTCAGAAAGAAGTTTGGAAATCAGGGAAAAAGAAAATGAAATTTTTCTGGCAATCCTGATCAGATAACAGTTCGGTTTAACTCACCTCGGTAGGATCTGGTCTGGATCTTTTGCTCGGCGTGGTGGCTCTCTCGGAATCCGTTGTTGGCACCGAGGATGCAGCACTTGAGACAGAAAGTTTTCTTGCGCGAGCTTTCGCTTGTTTAATTTCCGTGTTTCGTCGTTTGGCATCCAATTTCTCTTTCTTTACGCGACAATTGAAACATTCCCAACTGTTTGGCAGATCCTCGTTGAACGGTATTGTTGAGGGATTAATTCCGACGCAACGTGGATGAATAATATCGAAACAGAGTTGACACTCATGAAGAACGGACGGTGTCATTGGAATCGGTTTGCCTAAATTCAAATGAATTCAATTTGATGAATTAAAGAATTTTTTTTTCGTCAATTGGAATCGAATCAATATAAATCTATTGCTTACCCATCAGAGGCGATGGTTCTTGACCCCATCCGTCCAGATTACAGACACTACAAGCAGCTGTAACGGGGAGCATTGGCCTTAGACATTGTCTCATTAAACATGTTTGCTTTGCTCTTCCGGTTCCACCGAACTTCACCATATCTTGACAATAGACGCACTCTTGACAATCTTGCCTGGTGCATGCCTCACATTTTTTACAACGTGTTCGTCGTCTTCTGGCACAGGCCGATTTTGAATCGTGTTTTTCAATCGTTTGCTGGCGCTGAATTTTCGTCAATGTCTTCTTAGTCGCTTTCAAACGTTCCTGTTGGAAAAAATTTACAATTAGGTAGGTAATGAACTTAAATTAAAATTAAAGAGATGATACTTACTCGTTCGGCTATTGTCATAGGAGGTGGAGGCGGTAAAACCGGATTGCCAGTTACAGCTGCTTCTGGATTGTCATGTCGATGTTGTTCAACTAGGCACCTAACGTCGTGAATTAAGGCCACAGGATCACGTATTAAATCCGGTACATTTTTCTTCGTCGAAGGCAGAGAATGCAAGTACATTACAATTGACTTTAGCCCATGGAGTTCGTACGGAGTCAAATGAACATGAGGATGATTTAAAGCAGTTAATTGTTGAACCTGTGATTCGGGAATATCCAAATGACTTCTTCCCAAAAGAACATGAACGTACTTTTCCAAAACGTACCTAAAATATTATTTCTAAATTAAAATCCAATCACAGGAATAATCTACTCTTAAATTATTCAATCACAATTTAATTCTTAAATTAGAATTTAAATACCAGAGCATTTCCGTGAAGAACGGATAACGAAACTTTTGCGGTACTTTCGTGTGTTCCTCGACTTGCGCAACTTTCAATTGTTTATCAATGCCAAAACTGTGAAGAAAATTACCACCAAAAACAAGTGAATCTTGTGGTGTATAGACTGCGTGAATCCATCCAGTTGGAATGAATAAAGTCATTCCGGCTTTTAAATTGATTCGGCCGCATTTTTCGACCATATCGCCAAAAAAGACGTCGGATTGTTTACCACTGAGAACCCATTCTTGATAAAGAGAGAGATTCTTCTCTGTCGGTGGGATGAGCCAGAAAATTTTCCCCCCACGAAGAATGTGATACCAAACGCTTGTGCCACCGAAATCCACGTGAAAATCAGTGTAGCAACCCTTCACTGACATTAGACAGTATTTTTGCACTTTTGGATACATCATGTCCTCGAGAAGATTTGTAGCCTCGACTTGAGCTTCTTTCAAGTGACGAGGCCAAATCACATCGACCCAATCGACTTGTCGCACTAATGTTGGTGACTGAACATAATTTTCCAATTTTGTGTGACTAAATTCGAGGGATATTACATTTAGCAAGCGACCTTTATTCGGATCCTCGTAATATTTTTGCCATTCTTTCATTGTCATGTCCTCATTTTTTTGAGTATTTACGTCCATCACGTCCAGTACCCTTTTTGAACCTGATAAAAATTTGTTTTCTTTAAATTAAAATTCTTAATTAGATAATTAAAATTTAAAATAAAAAACACAAACATACCAACACAAGTTCGAACATCGTTAATTGAAAAATTGGCACTCGGTACACGAAGTCCCAATCCGGCTTTATCTCTGAATAAAAGTGGTATTCCCAAACCGTGTTTTTGCAGATAAGCAACATTAAGTTCTGGTCCAGTCATTATACGGAAAAGTCCCGTAAAATTGTTCAAGTCATACCTTTCACATTCAATCTTTTCATCAAGTTGAAATGTCCTTCTGCCTTCAATTTCCTCATCACCAATAGCCCAATCATCTGTATAGAGTTTCTTGGTTCTTTCTCTCTACAAAAAATATAATCAAATTTTATCGAGAAAAAATGAGAATTTCAGTCAGGAAAATTTTATTTCTTTTTTAAAAAAAGCACATGTTACATGTTTCTCATTTGTTTACCAATTGTCGCCTCTTTGGAGCTGAGACAGGTTCATCGGCCATTGTAAACACGCTGTCAAAAACGTATCACCGTATTTTCATTGGTAATTTAATTGATATTTTCTATTTTGACACTATTAGAATTTTATTTTGACAACAACAAATCACTGTCGACTATTTATTTATTCACATGTCAAATGTTAAACAGCTGTAATTTGGAACCGGAGGTTTTGATTACAATTCTGCTGCGAAACCAGGTTGCCATTTTGCTACTCTAGCGTCGCCAATCAATGACAAAGGAAAACTTAAATTCTCTAGATGGAGATTTTAGTGAATTTTGGTGTTATTTTTTCAGTTGAAGTTTCCTCACCTGAATGACGTCAGTTTAGCGGGAAATTTTAAGTTGATTAGAAATTTTTTTATTAATAGGCTTGAATTATTTGATGATAATTAATTATAACTAATTAACATTTGTAAATAACAAATTAATTGTAATTAATTTTAATTACCTGAACTGTAATTAATATTAATTATATTAACTGCAATTAATATTAATTATATTAACTGTAATTAATATTAATTATATTAACTGTAATTAATATTATTTATAATTCTAATTAATAAATAAAATATTTGATAAATAGTAAATTGCTTGTTTGGAAAAATATATTTTAGGTTGTTTTCCGAATTCTGTAAATTTATTTGAAAAATGTTTTATCAATATTCGTCGTCATGGTATCGAAACGGAAATTTTTTTAGAAAGTAAATATTGTAGGAAAATTTCGCATTGTGATTAGATTGAATTTTAATAATGGCTACTTGCAAAAATGTACAAAAAGCAAAAATTGTAAAACATTCAAAACAAAATGATCCATTGACACAAATATTTCATACTTCAAAGGAAGATACTCCGATTATAAAGTAATATATATTAAAAAATATATTAAATATATAAAAAGATTATTAAAAAATTATCAAAATTCAATTAAATTATTAAATTATTATTTTTTAATAATATTAATAAATATTATTAATTAAATAGATTTGATACAATTTTTCATTATTATTAATAATAAAAATTTTTATTTTAACAAATAAAAACTTTAGTAGATTCTTAGTCAAATATATCTTTTTTTCTTTGATGATTTTTTTAAAAGTACGGAGAAAATAATTTTTCAATTAATAATGTGAGGAAAAAAGTTGACATTCTTTATAATATGTAGAAAATATCCAGAAATGAATATGGCTAGAGCAAATCCTGAAGGACAGTTGATGAGAGCACGACAAGATTTGTTGAAAGCTGAAAATGAATTAAAAGAAAAACGGGAAGAACAGAAAATTAGAAAAATTGAAATGCAACAACAATGGACCGATTTAAGAAATAAAGAGTTGTCACTGCGTGAATCATTTATAGAATATAATAAGCTTGTGAAGGAGAATCGCGAGAAAAGAGAACGAGCTGAGAAAAAAATTTGCGAGGAGAAAGAACTTCAAAAATTGAGGGAAGAAGAAGTATGAAATTTTTTTTTTTAATACATAATTTTATTATTTTATACAATACAAATTGGTAAAAATTTAAAAAAAAATTATTTCAACTTAATTATTTGAATCATAAAGAAAATTATCTTTGAGTTATAAAAAAAAAAATCTAGAAATCCCCGTTGGCCGCAGTCGTTAAAGCCTTTAAAACCTCGTATTTCAAGTTCGGCGTTCGAATCCTGGTGGGGTTAAAATTTTAATTTTAGTTTAAATTACATTCGAATCAGTTTTAAACGAAAGAACTTAAAAAAGAGTTTGGGAAATAAAAATTAGACTAATTTTAATTGTAAAATGAATTAAATACTTAATCATTAATTATTTATCAAAATCTTTCTTAAAAGAATTATTATTACTTCTTTAAAAAAAATTTTGAAGGCAAGATTTTTAAATAATCAATTTGCAGATTAGCGAATTGAAGAAAAATATAGAAAAATTCTCAGAAGCTCGAGACAAAATTAAACATTACGTCAATGAATATAAAATGTATCAGAATTATCTCGAAAGGGTGGTTAATGAGACAGATGAATTTGAATCAGTACCAGCAATTTTTAATCGTTATGAAACTTTGATGGAGGCCAAAGAACAACTTGCTGAGAAACAGGACAAGAGTCTCGCAATTTTAGAAGAAGCTAGCAAAAATATGGTCAGTTTTAATTTTCTTTTTCATGCGAAACAAAATATTTCCAAATATTTACAAAATCATTTTTTTTCTAAGAATATCTAATTGAGACAAAAAACGTATCAAAATAGTTGCGAAGCAACGTTTTGATACGTTTTTTGTCTCAATTTGATATTCTTAGAAAAAGTGATGTTAAAAGTACCAAAGAAATGAAAATTAAAAATTAAAGATTTTAAATTAAAATTAAAATTGCAAATTGCAAATTGAAAATTGCATATTTTAATTTTAAATATTTACTCCAGATAGAATTTTTTTTTCATATTAAAAGTTAGTAGAAATTTCGTTGCTTTTAACAAAAATGATGTATAATTTGGTGCAAAAGACAAACGAGACAAATAAATAAAATTTTTTTAATATTTCAAATAGCATGAAATGACACAAACGAAAACTAATATGCTAATGGATCTGAGTAATGAATTAGCACAACTTCAGGGAAGATATGATAGAGCAAAAGCACTTGCAATTAGATGGGAAACTATTGTTGCAATTATAAAAGCGGCGGCTGCTGTAAAACAGTCAGAATTAACTCAAATCCGATCGAGTTGTTATAATCTTTATTTGCAAATTTGCAAGAGAAAGGGAATAGCGAGTGAATTAGATCCAACGGATTATGAGCATCAACTGCTTGAAATTAAACGCACTATCATGGAAATGAAAAGAATCGTCAAAGCAGTCAAGAAGAAAGCTGCCAAGCCTGTTAAAAGAGAATAAAATTTAAAACAATTAGAAACCCAACAATTTATTAATAATTTTATTGATAAAATGTCAGATTTTTTTAGCATTCTACAAAAATTTAAAATTTTTCTAAAATCTATAACAATTTTATAAAAAAAATTTAATTATAAAAATGAAATAATAAATAATGAATTTTAACATAAATAAATAAATTTTTATCAGAAAATAAATTACTCACGAATCATGAATATTAATATTTAATAGTAATAAAAGACAAATAGAATTTTACCTTTCCGTAAAATTTACTTTATTAAAAACATTATTTTTTCTGTTTCAGTTTGCGGCAGTTCAGAGTGTCCAGCAGTACGGAAAGTTAGGGAACTTGTTTAGTCAGGAAAATGTTAGGAAACTTTAAAATTATACAAAAATTGAAAACTTTTTCAATCTAAAAAAACTTAAATTGTTTTTATTACCACTTGTTTTGATAATTAATAGATAATATAATTATGTAGAGATTTTGGATATTAATTTATTATTAATTATTTATTTTATACGTCAAGAATCATATTTTTGTTCCAAAAAAGTAGAATCAAAGTTAGAGCAAAGTTAGGGAATTTTATTCTTATAATCATTGCTGGACATTCTGCAATTCGACGATCTAAAGGACCGGGAAAGATGTGGAGAAGAAAAGTGGCCCCAGCACACTGCCGATTTTTTTTATTTTCTTTGTAGTTTATTTAGTCTATTTTTTATTTATTTTTTTAAATTTTAATTTCACGGTTCCGTGTGGCCCCCGACCTGACGCAGAAGTGCAATGAAGAGCCAGGGATCTTCGGGGGTGGTCCGGAAGGGGTGATGACGTAGGATCCCATCGCCACAACGTGGGCTCATCATCCACCGTGGGATTCACAATGTCGACTATCACAAACTGTGATAGTAAGACTCATTTTACATATTCAATTTTTTTTATTCATCCTTCCCTGTTTAAAGCACTTTTTCAATTAATTTCCTTTAATTAAAATTATTTCGAGTAAATTGAAATAGAAAATCAATTGTTTATCGCTTCTTTGTTATTTTGCAAATATTTGCTCTTCCTTTTAATAAGTGAACTGAAATTTGGATATTAATATTTTATATTAATTTTGAAACTTTATTTTATTTAATTTATTAAATGTAATTGATAATTGATTGTTAATTATTAAGATTGATTATTAATTATTTAGAATTGAATTTCGAAATTTTTTTAAAACAGGGAAGGAATCCGCAACAACATAGTGACGCCCGCAATTGACAAAATTATTATTTTGTTGTATTTTTATTTACTGCAAAATTTAATACTTTTGGCAATGTTTCTTTTATATCTTGGCATGTTGTATCTACACTGAATAATTTTTTACCTACTTAATGTTTTGAAGATTCTTCTCATAATTTAATACAAATTTCTTTCATTTCCAAACAACAATTAAAAATTCGATTCATTAAATTTTTATTTTTATCAATATAGAAAGTTTATCAATTTATAAAATTTTTAGCAGAAATTCAATTATATTCAAATTTTTTTTTTTAAAATTCTAATCAAAATTTCAATTATTTTTATAAATAATAAAATTCTTCACCGAATTTCAATTATTTTCAAGAATTTTAATAAAACTCTCTTGTCAAAATTTCAATTATTTTCGAAAATTTTAATAAAATTCTTCGCAAAAATTCAATTATTCTAGTATAATTTTCAAATTAAAATTTATTTAAAAATGAATTTCAGTTAAAATTTGAGATAATAATTGAATATTAAGAGCAATATGGCGTGAATTTTTAGAAATAATTGAATTTTGAATCCAATAATTTTTTGAATAATAAAATTAGTTCCAAGAATCGAATTGCTTTTTAAATATTAAAATTCTTCTCCGCAATTTTATTATTTAAAACACAATATTCATAAAATTTTTTGGAAAAAATCTATCATTTTAAAAGATTTTCATTAAATTCTTCGTTACAATTCAATTATTTTTAGAAATTTTCATAGGGATTCAATTATTTTCACAAATAAAAAAAATTTTTTCAGGAATTCAATTATTTTCATAAATAATAAAACTCGTCGCAGGATCTCAATTATTCTTAATACAATTTTTATCAACTTTCTCGAAATTGTAAATATTTTTTAAAAATTTACTTAAAATTCGTCCAAAAAATCTAATTATGTATTTAAAAATTTGTTTAGAAAATTCCTTATGAAAATTGAAGTTTAAGAAATATTTAATTATTCAATAAATTCTTTATTTGCATTTTATTTGTATTTAAATAATTGAATTCTAGTAGAATTTTCAATTAAAAATTTATTTAAAAATAAATTTCAGTTAAAATTTGAGATAATAATTGAATATTAAGAGCAATATGGCGTGAATTTTAAGAAATAATTTAATTTTGAAATCAATTTTTTTTTAAATTGTCAAAGAACTTTTTCGAAAATTATTAAAAATAATTGATGCAAGGAAGAATTTTATTTAAAAATTTTTTAAAATAAAAATTTAATGGAAATGACGAAAATAATTTTGAAGAAGTGCAATATTTTTATATAATTATAAAAAATTAGTTAGTTTTAAGTAAAATGTTCGGAATCGGACTGGTTATATTTTTGTCTGTGATAATCGATCCGTAAAGTCTGGTTCGAGCCCTAAAATGTAGGTTAAAAATTTATCCAGTGTATTGTTAATAATTTTATATTTTCTATTTTTGAATGTGTGAGTAGGTTTTGAGCTCAGATGACGGATGCGTCCCGGGACGTATGGGTGAGCCTAACGTGCCCCTTTATCCCTAGAGTAGGTCAATTTGCATCTGGGCGGTATGTGAGAGAATCGTGGAGTATTTGTGCGAATATCTGTGATTTAAAACTAGGTTTGTATTAAATAGATTCTGGATAGGAAGGATTAGCTTTTTTATATGAAAAAATGTAATAATTTTTTTTACCGTATTAAATATTTGGTTAGAAAGGGAATTCGGAAAAATTGCCATACGTACACGAACCAGACACCTGCGTTTGAAGCAGTGTGCAATCGTACACACGAACCAGACACCTGCGTTTGAAGCAGTGTGTACCACTGGAGTACCAGTGCAAAAATCTTCATTTTAAATTTTTATTATTTTATCATTTTTGTCACTATGTTGTTTAAAATTTTACTTGATTTCTATGTAATGCAATTTACAAATAAATATTACGAATAAATTTCTCTAGGTGTCCACTAAAAGGGAAATTAGATTTAACGAGATTCTTTTGTAATCGATGGTTATAGTTATAGTGACTCGCGTGTAATTTAAATCCTTCATTTATGTAATCGCTTGCAAACACCCTGCAGCAAATTTTCTCCCAACTATAATTTTTCACCATTAGTTTATTTTTTATTTATTTTTTTATTTATTTTTTTATTGGTATCTCTTTTGCATAATTTTTCTCGCCGCTGGCAAGTTACAACCAGATACACTGTGCAATAATTCGGAAATGTCATTCTCCAGTCTTTTATTTAGCTTCTCAGTCGCCTCTTTTTGAGTCATTGGTACTTCCAAACCTTCGGAAACTTTTTGAAATTCTTCCTTCTCGGAACAACTGTATGAATAATGGTTTAAAAAATAAAAGTTGGAAACAAAAATTAAAACTAGAAAATTAATGAATGAGGATATTTTGAGTGGAATAGGAGGAACTTACAGAGGACAAGGTTGAGTTGGCGCGATATCGGAAAGGGTTGGAGGTACAAGAACGGATTTTCTTTCTTCACTTATTTTCTCCTCGCCATTCACATTCTCAGTAGAGTACATTTTAGTTAAAATATTTGAAACCTCCTTCTCGATAATACCAAGGTATAACATGACGTTATTCATGGTAACCTGAGTATCATCACCGAGTAATTCTAGAATGGGTGACTTGTCGCATTTTATTGCACCAAACAGTTCGTCGACTCCTTTCAGAAGTTGATTCATTACTTCCTGAGACTGGAATATTGTAAAATGTTAGTTATTTAGAACTTTTATGGAGAAAACTTTGAAAGTTAGTTTAAACTTTAACTTTTGTATCGTACATTTCGAAAAGCCGAGGATATAATTCGATAATTACCTTCTCTAGTTCTTTTTCCGCCTCGTCAGCAAGTCGTGTCTCTTCCTCGAGTTCTTGCTTTAATTTCTCTAAAGTTTCCGCCTGTTTTTGACCCTCCTCATTATTTAGAGCTTTTGCTTCCTCAATTCCTGCTCTTAATTGTTCGACTCGATTTTGAAGACTTTCGCGCTCATCGTTCAGCTCATTCACATAATTAAAGAGTGCAAAGTTCTCTTCTTCCTGCTTTATGAAATTAGCGGCCAACTTGTCTACATCTTCTTCCCCTGTGGAAAATTGTACGTCATTAATTTCTATACTCAATTTATTAATTATTAATAATTAATAATTAATAATTAATAATTTCAGTTTCAGTAAATTAAAATTTGTATTTAGTTGCAGGAGCATAGTACAGCGTTGTTACAAATCAGGGAATTCAGAGAAAAGTCATAATATTTAGCCAAAAATTGAAAAATTACCTGTAAATTCTTTGAGTTCGGTAAGAATTTTCGTGTACTCGGCAACTTTGTCCTCCATTTCCTTTTTCTTGGCAGCATGCTCAGCGTCTTTCTTTGCATTTAAATTCGTCATCTCCCGGCACTGACCTTTCACACCAAGGAACTCTTGTAGTTTCATTTCATTGTCAAGGGTTCGTTGAAGTTCACACATTTCAGACGTGTGATTCTTTAAATCTCGCGCCCCTCTGGAAATAATTTTTTTGTAGCATTCTTTTGTTCGTATTTCTAATCAATCTTCTTTATACATTTTTACATTATATTCTCTTCCGAATATATTTTATTTAATATTATTATTTTATTCCATTCGTTATTTATTTTATTAGGTACTATTTACTATATTTTATTTTTTCCATGTTAATTTACTTACAACTCTGTATGAGAAATAGAACTTTACAAATAAATTTTCTAATTATCTGTTTCCTTTCTTTCAAGTTTTGTTTCAAGTAAGGAATAAAACAAGTTTTTTTTTTACATAAAAATGGCTGCGAAAAAGTTTAATCTGAATAATTAAATTCGATTTATTGCTTTTAGATTGTAATCACTTTACACTAATATGTACCAATTGTCGTATTAAATTTCATCGATTTAAAGTTGATATCTTTATATACAGAATGCGGATCAATTTCAGATAATTAACACAAGGAAGCCGTATAAGTGTCTAATCCGGTAATCATCTGAACACCTTAACTTTCGCACCACTTCCACTTTTTATAGACTGAGCGCGAAGATAAAGTTAATTAAATTCCAGAGAGGAAGAGTTGAAAAATTATTAACTAATAAAATGAAAAACGTAACGAAACAAAGGTTACAAAACCTAATATTTTGTATAACCGCACTATGCTAGTTTTGCTTTAGTTAGAAGAATGCGGTTTTTAATTCTAATTATTTTTCGTTTATGGTTCGGATTGATTTTTTTTAAAAACCATCCATAATTTTCAGAAATAACAGTTTGTAAAACGAGGTTTATTATTTTGTTTACGCGTATTTTACTTGTTAACTGAAATATAAATGTTATAGCTGCGAAGTAAATAAAAATTTGCGAGAATAAATGCATACCTTTCGCGTAGAGCATGAATTTTACTGAGTTCCTCATCCCTTTGATTAAAGGCAATTGTTGCTTGTTCAATAAGATCATTAATAACCTGTTTGCCCGCGTTAATTTTATTAACAAGCTTAGTGTAAAGGGCGTTAAATTGTGCTCGTTCCTTAAGAAGACCATCAATTTCCTTACGCAATTCAGTATTTTTTGCTATTGTCAGATTAAATTTTTTCGTTGCCACTTCCAACCGGTTTTCCAGTATAGAAACAAACTTGTTGTGCTTCATCACCATTTCCTTTGATTGAGCATCCGTGCGAACTTTCTTCTTCAGGGCATTCACTTCCTTCGATACCTGTAATTAACCTCCACCTTTTGCATTAAGCCTGCACGTTTTTCTGTTAAATTTTCGTAAATCAACTGAGAATTTCTCAACTTTTATTTATATGTATACGGTGCGCGGGTGTATTATTAAAAAATCAGGAAATTGGCTCATGAAAAATGATGTACTATATCGAACTAATGAATTACGATTCACTTTCATTCAGTCTGTGATTATTATTATTATTACGGATAATAATAGCAGTAATAATGGTCATAATTATCATAATAATGGAATAATTCTTCTTAGATTGGCAATCGTGTTTCTAAAGTTTAAGGCATAACACGAAAAAATTTTTTATTTTCAACATTCAATGGAACTGTAGCACCCAGAGTTGTCAACACTCATTAAATTTTTGAAAAATTTATTTTGGTATTGAAACGAAAATATGAAGCTGATAACTGGCACCCAGGTGCGGTCAGCACCCAGTTAAGTTTTTAAAATATTATGTTGGTTTTAAACCAACATAATATTTTAAAAACTTAACTGGGTGCTGATATACCTGGATGCCAGTCTTCAGCACCTAGTTAATTTTTCAAAATTTTATTTTATCACCCAGTTATTGTTCGCTTTTTTGTTTCTTAACTTTTTAAATATTTTCAATTTTAAAATTAATTTATTAAAAATCATCATCGAATTGTTGCAAAGAATTTTATCAAAAAATTTGATAATAATTGAATTCCTTTGAAGAATTTTATTATTTATGAAAATATTTTAATTCTTGCGAAGAATTTTCTTATTTATGAAAATAATTAAATTCTTGCAGAGGATTTTAAAATTAATAAAAATAAATGAACTGTTTCGAAGAATTTTATCTAAATTTTTGAAAATAATTGTAGTTTTTGAATGAATTTTATTAAAAATGTTGAAAATAATGATTTTTTAAAAACAATTTCATCAAAATTGTTGAAAATAATTGAATTTATATTAAAATTGTTGAAAATAATTAATTTTAATTAATATTTTTTAAAAATAATTGTATTCTTTCGAGAAATTTTTTAAAAATTGAATTGAAAATAATTGAATTGCAAGAAGTTTATTTTAAAAAAAAATAATACCTTTGCTATCTGTTCGTCCAGTTCAGCAATTTGTTGCTTTTCTTTTTCTATAAGTTCCATATATTTGGTTCTTTTTTGCAAAAGTTTTTCAATTTCGGCTCTGTCCTTTTCATCCTTTTTCAAGTTTGCCGGCGATTTAATGGCTTTTATTGTTAATAAAAGTTCCGATTTTTCACGTTCGAGTTGATCGATTATTTTCTCTTGTTTCTTAAGTTGTAATTGCATTTTCCTTGAATACGATTTTCGATCATTTTCCATAATTCTATATTGTCTTTTTAATCTCGCGAGTTCCGCTTCCGCCATTGCTTCCAATTCCATCTCATCTTGAACTTGATTCTGTTGTCTGTAGGCCATTCTTTTCTATTTGCCTGTAAAGAAAAATTCTCTTTTGGAACAACTTTTTTATCTTCATTATTATTTTATTATTATTATTATTATTATTATTATTATTATTATTATTATTATTATTATTATTATTATTTGAATTATTATTGTTGTTATTAGTTTTTTATTTTTATTTTGTTTGCTTTTAGTTTTCTTGTTTTAGTTTTTTCTTTTGGTTTTTTGCTTTTAGTTTTTTATTATGAAGTTATGTGAATTATTCTCGGAGAGTAATGTTTTATTTCTAAAGATGAAAAAAGTATATTGTGATAGAGTTATTTCTGTATTATTACATGCCACTCTGAAACAAATGATTTAGTAATGAATTTGCATTTTATGAGTAAGTGTTTTGAAAATATTTCTTTAATGGGCAAAATTACTGTATTTAGATGACGCATCGAATAAATCGAAAAGAATTATTATTGAAAGGTTGAAGAAAATAACGCGTGCCAAGGAGTGTACATGATGTTCTCATCGAATGAATCACGAGATAGATTCCACTGCAAAAATAGACATCTGCTAAGTGGGTCTGGCAGCCCTTTGATATATACTCTCGATGCAATTTCGATGAAAGGACTACTTGTTCATCTTCTGAAAGGGAGTCAAGTACTTCCTCTCTCCTCTCGACTATAATACTATATCAAAACCATGCAGTGAAATTTTATTAATTTTCAAAAAATTTTAAATTCACTAAAAATTTAAATCAAACTTTTGCTTTTAAAAATTATATCTTTTTCTAATTGTGAAATCCTCTTGGTTCTCCTTTTTGCATTGGGTTCAGAGAAAATATTAAATTAGGAAGAAGGCAAGGAAAAACAAAATTTTTGTCACAACTCAGATCTGAAAAAAATATTTTTCATGCAATGTTGATTTAGAAAAATTGGTGCGTAAAAATAATTTTACAGTACTTGTTATTGATAACCTGTAAATTGTCCGGTTAAAATTGATTCAAAAAAATGACGATCTTGTTTATGATTCAGGGACGAAAAACAAATTCAAATAAATTCGCGGAAGTTAAATTTCGGTTGACATTTGTATAAGAATTTTGGTCACTTCGCACAACCCTGGCAGATGTACCAATACAACCCCATCGAAGTGGATTTCCGGTTACTAAGCACTAAAGGCAACCCACGTTGTCAGCTGTGAGCCGTTTGTTCAATGGTTACTAAGGCAACTTCTTGATTGTGTCATTTTTATACACACAAAAACGAAAACAAGAAATATCTACATATTGACATTTTCATAAAAATCCAAACATCTTATTTTCATCAAATTTCATCAATATTAAAAAATTCAAAAGTGGTAAATTTTTATTAAGTTCTAAATTTCGTAGATAGAATATAAATTATCTATGTATATAGTTGCAATTCTTCTTCACGAATTATAGGCTACTTTGAAGGCGAGATTTTTTAAACCGTTTATTTTTCAAATTTTCGGTTATGTTTATAATTGGTAATTTTTAGTTATTGAAAAACATTTTGAAAAAGATTTCAAAAGTGGATCCCCTTAGAAAATAGTTGTAAATATTATTTTATGAGTATTGATTAAAACCCCTTTTGTCCTTGAACTATCTTTTTATTGATAATTTCCACTAACACTATTCGTTGGACGTTCAGAATTAGAGGCTATAAAAATATGTATATTGGGTAGATTTTAAGAATCTTTTATTTTAAGCAACATTACAACAACAACAAAATTAAAATTTTTTTAATTAATACTAATTAATTTGGGAGTACTAAATATTTTCTCTTGATGGTAAATTTTTGTTATCTACAATTTCATACCAATTTATTATACGGGAAATTAACTATGATATTAAATTAGCTACAAAATTTATTTCTTCTCATTTTTAATATTTCTCTCATCGGCAAATCACCTTATTTGCAGTATGGAGCGAGCCCTACTCAATCCTAAAAAATAAACAATTTTATTTTTATATATTATTTATTATAAATAAAAAAATTATTTATTATATATTAATTTTTATATATTATTTTATAATTATTAAATTTAGAAGAAATAAATTTCTATTTTCGTTTTTACCAAATTTTGGTTGTCTGAAATGAAAATAAAAATTTATTTCCTCCAAATTTAATAATTATAATCACCTGAAAGTTACCAGAGTTCTAGTAGGGACTGAGCCCTACCCAATCTTGAAGATTAGAGAATTTTATTTCAATTTTTAAGTAGTAGCACCATCACCCGTACGCCATCAGACAATCAAAATTTGGTAAAAATGAAAATAAAAATTTATTTGTTCCAAATTTAATAATTATAATCACCTGAAAGTTACCAGAGTTCTAATAGGGACTGAGCCCTACCCAATCTTGAAGATTAGAGAATTTTATTTCAAATTTTAAGTAGTAGCAGGTCCACCCGTACGCCATCAGACAATCAAAATTTGGTAAAAACGACAATAAAAATTTATTTCTACCAAATTTAAAAATTATAATCACCTAAAAGTTACCAGAGTTCTAGTAGGGACTGAGCCCTACCCAATCTTGAAGATTAGAGAATTTTATTTCAATTTTTAAGTAGTAGCACCATCACCCGAACACCATCAGACAATCAAAATTTGGTAAAAACGACAATAAAAATTTATTTATACCAAATTTAATAATTATAATCATCTGAAAGTTACCAGAGTTCTAGTAGGGACTGAGCCCTACCCAATCTTGAAGATTAGAGAATTTTATTTCAATTTTTAAGTAGTAGCACCATCACCCGAACACCATCAGACAATCAAAATTTGGTAAAAACGACAATAAAAATTTATTTCTACCAAATTTAATAATTATAATCATCTGAAAGTTACCAGAGTTCTAGTAGGGACTGAGCCCTACCCAATCTTGAAGATTAGAGAATTTTATTTCAAATTTTAAGTAGTAGCAGGTCCACCCGTACGCCATCAGACAATCAAAATTTGGTAAAAACGACAATAAAAATTTATTTCTACCAAATTTAATAATTATAATCATCTGAAAGTTACCAGAGTTCTAGTAGGGACTGAGCCCTACCCAATCTTGAAGATTAGAGAATTTTATTTCAATTTTTAAGTAGTAGCAGGTCCACCCGTACGCCATCAGACAATCAAAATTTGGTAAAAACGACAATAAAAATTTATTTCTACCAAATTTAATAATTATAATCATCTGAAAGTTACCAGAGTTCTAGTAGGGACTGAGCCCTACCCAATCTTGAAGATTAGAGAATTTTATTTCAATTTTTAAGTAGTAGCACCATCACCCGAACACCATCAGACAATCAAAATTTGGTAAAAACGACAATAAAAATTTATTTATACCAAATTTAATAATTATAATCATCTGAAAGTTACCAGAGTTCTAGTAGGGACTGAGCCCTACCCAATCTTGAAGATTAGAGAATTTTATTTCAATTTTTAAGTAGTAGCACCATCACCCGAACACCATCAGACAATCAAAATTTGGTAAAAACGACAATAAAAATTTATTTCTACCAAATTTAATAATTATAATCATCTGAAAGTTACCAGAGTTCTAGTAGGGACTGAGCCCTACCCAATCTTGAAGATTAGAGAATTTTATTTCAATTTTAAGTAGTAGCACCATCACCCGAACACCATCAGACAATCAAAATTTGGTAAAAACGACAATAAAAATTTATTTCTACCAAATTTAATAATTATAATCATCTGAAAGTTACCAGAGTTCTAGTAGGGACTGAGCCCTACCCAATCTTGAAGATTAGAGAATTTTATTTCAATTTTTAAGTAGTAGCAGGTCCACCCGTACGCCATCAGACAATCAAAATTTGGTAAAAACGACAATAAAAATTTATTTCTACCAAATTTAAAAATTATAATCATCTGAAAGTTACCAGAGTTCTAGTAGGGACTGAGCCCTACCCAATCTTGAAGATTAGAGAATTTTATTTCAATTTTTAAGTAGTAGCAGGTCCACCCGTACGCCATCAGACAATCAAAATTTGGTAAAAACGACAATAAAAATTTATTTCTACCAAATTTAATAATTATAATCATCTGAAAGTTACCAGAGTTCTAGTAGGGACTGAGCCCTACCCAATCTTGAAGATTAGAGAATTTTATTTCAATTTTTAAGTAGTAGCAGCCATCACCCGAACACCATCAGACAATCAAAATTTGGTAAAAACGACAATAAAAATTTATTTATACCAAATTTAATAATTATAATCATCTGAAAGTTACCAGAGTTCTAGTAGGGACTGAGCCCTACCCAATCTTGAAGATTAGAGAATTTTATTTCAATTTTTAAGTAGTAGCACCATCACCCGTACGCCATCAGACAATCAAAATTTGGTAAAAACGACAATAAAAATTTATTTCTACCAAATTTAATAATTATAATCACCTAAAAGTTACCAGAGTTCTAGTAGGGACTGAGCCCTACCCAATCTTGAAGATTAGAGAATTTTATTTCAATTTTTAAGTAGTAGCACCATCACCCGAACACCATCAGACAATCAAAATTTGGTAAAAACGACAATAAAAATTTATTTCTACCAAATTTAATAATTATAATCATCTGAAAGTTACCAGAGTTCTAGTAGGGACTGAGCCCTACCCAATCTTGAAGATTAGAGAATTTTATTTCAATTTTTAAGTAGTAGCACCATCACCCGTACGCCATCAGACAATCAAAATTTGGTAAAAACGACAATAAAAATTTATTTCTACCAAATTTAATAATTATAATCACCTAAAAGTTACCAGAGTTCTAGTAGGGACTGAGCCCTACCCAATCTTGAAGATTAGAGAATTTTATTTCAATTTTTAAGTAGTAGCACCATCACCCGAACACCATCAGACAATCAAAATTTGGTAAAAACGACAATAAAAATTTATTTCTACCAAATTTAATAATTATAATCATCTGAAAGTTACCAGAGTTCTAGTAGGGACTGAGCCCTACCCAATCTTGAAGATTAGAGAATTTTATTTCAAATTTTAAGTAGTAGCAGGTCCACCCGTACGCCATCAGACAATCAAAATTTGGTAAAAACGACAATAAAAATTTATTTCTACCAAATTTAATAATTATAATCATCTGAAAGTTACCAGAGTTCTAGTAGGGACTGAGCCCTACCCAATCTTGAAGATTAGAGAATTTTATTTCAATTTTTAAGTAGTAGCAGGTCCACCCGAACGCCATCAGACAATCAAAATTTGGTAAAAACGACAATAAAAATTTATTTATACCAAATTTAATAATTATAATCATCTGAAAGTTACCAGAGTTCTAGTAGGGACTGAGCCCTACCCAATCTTGAAGATTAGAGAATTTTATTTCAATTTTTAAGTAGTAGCACCATCACCCGTACGCCATCAGACAATCAAAATTTGGTAAAAACGACAATAAAAATTTATTTCTACCAAATTTAATAATTATAATCAACTAAAAGTTACCAGAGTTCTAGTAGGGACTGAGCCCTACCCAATCTTGAAGATTAGAGAATTTTATTTCAATTTTTAAGTAGTAGCACCATCACCCGAACACCATCAGACAATCAAAATTTGGTAAAAACGACAATAAAAATTTATTTATACCAAATTTAATAATTATAATCATCTGAAAGTTACCAGAGTTCTAGTAGGGACTGAGCCCTACCCAATCTTGAAGATTAGAGAATTTTATTTCAATTTTTAAGTAGTAGCAGGTCCACCCGTACGCCATCAGACAATCAAAATTTGGTAAAAACGACAATAAAAATTTATTTCTACCAAATTTAAAAATTATAATCAGC